TGACTTTTAATCATTACGATGTAGGTTCGAATCTTGCAAGTTCTACTAGGGATATGCTGGAAAGGTATACAGGCTTCTGACCGACGGCCACGCCAGCGAGACTGATGACAGCCAGAGAGAGTGAGGTGAGCTGCATAGTGGGAGCTTCGGTGTGTATGTTGAGTGAGTAGTTATTTCATTCGACATTATGATCGAGATTGGCTGGTGTGCTACCGCGATGTATAGTGGAAGACTGGTCTTGTATTTGTACATGTTCTGCTGCCCAAAGTCGGCTTTGGCCGACAGACGGTCGATGACCACTGACCAGGCCTCGTCAGCCTCATCCATACAGGCATATTCAAGTCCTCTCTGAACGTGGCCGGCGGCTCGAACAGACCGTCAACAGACTCGGCGATCCCGGGTGGCATGAGGTTCATGTCGTTGCCAGAGTCCACAACGACTTGTACCTTTGTCGTGTTGGTGGTATAAGTGGATGAAGAGCGCCAAGAGTCTGAGTCTATCGTCAGGGTCATCAAACTGATCACTGGCTCGCCACCAGGGTAGAGCTCCTCGGGATACCATCGATGAACTCGGTAGGCGCGACGGCCCAGTCATCAGTGTTTTCGACAGGAGGAAGCTCACCGGGTCCCAGCCAGCCTCCTATGCCCAACTTCACTTCCTTGGAGAGGTGGTTGATCGCAATAATGTACCATGATTCGACTGAGCCTTTCTTGTCCATGTCGACAAACGTAGTTTTGTATAATATGCAAATGGTAATCAGGAACTTTGTGTCGTTCTCCAGTACGGTCCCTGGGTGGGCGGGGCGAAACATTGGGAAATCGAGGCCTAGGGTGACGCTATGGATACCATCTCCTTTGTCGGTTGTACGGTCGATAATGCCCATCCTTATCGGCAACTTACTTGTATGCTTACCCTCAGCTCGCGCCGCAATTCGGGCAATTAGTTGAACCCGGTGGTGGCGCGCAGCTGTCTTCTGGTTGGCAAGCCGGTCTGAGCAGCTCCAGCGTCGTCAGCTGCTTCATTGGCGGCCTGGCCAACGAATGGCTCGTGACAGAGTTTGGCCCGAACCGGGTGATCGTCGCCGCGCTCGGTGTGTTCTCCGCTTTCATCTTCATCGCCTTCCTTGCTGGCAACATCGTCATACTTCTGGTCGGTTTCTGTGCGGAGTGTCCGGGGCATTTTCATCACCTCGGCGCAGTGCGTTGGGGTGTAGGACCACCTATCTCTTCGGCATGGGTACGCACGCTTTGCGCGATGTTCATAATCATCGGTGTCGTCAACGTTTGGAACGACAAGGGCAATGCCGACATGGTACAGGCCATGCTGATACTTCCTGAGCCCCGGCGAGCCCAATCACAGCGGCTATACGGGCTTCGTCTGGGTTCGACGGCATTGCTGCCCCACCACATTCGGAGTCGCACGTCGATGGGAGGAAGCATTGATGCTATACGATGTGTGTCATGTGTCTCATTGACTTGAGAACCGATTCAATCTGGCTCGCATCAGATATGTGTACCTCCGATGCTTCATCCTGTTCCTATTCTAAACCACCACGACGTCCTTTAGTATCCGTACAAATTCACGTGCTCCGACGTCGACGCCCTGATCTTCCTGTTCTCGCGGATCAACAAAACTCGAATGAACCAAGCGCAGCCAATGGAAGCCAGCGCGAACGCGGCCGAAGCGCTAAAGCCGATGACATATCGAGGGTCATCCGACTTGGGCCACAGGTAGGCGCCGTAGATGTAACCAATCTGGCCACCAACATTGGTCATGGCAAGCACGACGGCCTTCTTCTCCTTGGTCTGCGACAGGGTCGAGGACGCCCAGCCGATGATGACCGAGTTGACCGAGTAGGCACCGCTGGCCAAGATGAAGAACGACACGTAGCGCGCCGGCACGTTGAGAGTGGCAGCGGCGACGGCGAATCCGACAATGGCGCACGTCAGGCCCACGGTGATGTGCCAGGTACGCTCGTGGAGGCGACCGGAGGACCAGCCAAACAGGATACCGGCCGCTCCGGCAAAAATGAAGGGGGGGCAGGTCAGGACCAGGGTGATGGTGTCGCTGAAGCCCAGTGTCCTGACCACGGTCGGGAAGAAGGAGTTGAAGGAGCAGGCCGAAAGATGAAAATTCTGCATCAGGATGAACAGCCAGGTACGCTTGTCCCTGCAGGCCTGCTTGAGACCCTCCAGGGCCGAGCCCTCGGTGCCGTGGTTCGCCGGCCTGTCCTTGACCATGCGCGTGTGCGCAAGCTCACGCTCGCGCTCATTCAACCAGCGCGTGGTCGAGGGTGTGTCGGGCAGGAGCCAGAATCCCACCAACGCCATGAGCGCAGTGGCTGCACCCTCGAGGATAAAAAGCCATCGCCAGCCCTCGAGACCGCGAACGTCGTCGAGACCAGCAAAGATGCCGGCGGCAATGAGGCCTGAGAAACCGGTGGCCAGAATCTGAGCGCAGTAGAGCATGGCGATACGAGAGGCAACCTCTGCGATTCGTTAGCATTCTCCCTTCATTAAGCTCTATTTGGTTGTACATACCCTTGCGTGTGTAAAAGGTAGACAGCATGTACGTCGCGCCAGGGTAGAAGGGTGCCTCCGTGACACCAAGGAAGAAGCGACACGCCACAATGCCGGCAAAGTTCTGCACGAGGGCGGTACAGGCCGAGACAACAGCCCAGACTAACATCCAAGCACTCATGTACATGCCAGGCTTGACCTTTGTGATCAACATGTTAGAGGGAATTTGCCTGTCAGGGGTCAGAATTGGACGTGCTCATGAGTGCAGGGGGTGAGTCGCACATGAGAACATAGCCAACGAAGAGGATGGAGACGGCAGTGTTGAAGTCGTTGCCAGTCATACCTAGATCCTCTTCGATATCGTTGATACGAGCCTGTGCAATGGCGTTTCGGTCCACGTAGTTGAGGAAGTACATGACGCAAAGTGTGGCTGTTGAGTGTTAGACATCGTTTTTGTCTCAATCATGGGTGAGACTTTGATGTACGCTGCATGCAATCAGTATATAGAGACGCAAGGTTCCATACAGGGGGATACACACCATGATCATCCAGTCGAGCTTGCGGACCAACTTGATCTCCTCTGGGTCCGTCTTCCTGACGGCACCCGAGTAGTCGGCACCGGGCTCCTGCGCAGAGAAGCCAGGCTTCTTCTCGTCGTCGGCAAAGGTGTCAACATGCTCTTCCCGCGAGGTGCGCTTCTCGATCGACGCGGCCATGTCGAGTTGGGGCCAGTTGTGCAACGTCTGAGCTAGAAGAATTCGCGAGAGTCGAAAATGCTGGGTTGGGCTAGGCCAATTGCTCACTCTCGTCAATCCAGGGTGGGTCCGGGGTAGATGAACCTGGCAAGAGACGGGGAGAGCAAAACGAACTCGGGCTGAGATGGCAATGAAAAGGGAGGGCAGTTGAACGAAATAACGAGAGGGTCGGATCTAATATACGGGGACCCCCTCGGGGGTAAGAGGCGGAGCGTTGCAGTTGGTATCCATCGCACATTAGTGTGATGTAGCGTTCCTTCGCAGAGGCGCACTGGATCAGCGTGAAGCGTTCGACTGAGCGAGGGGATCAGGTCTTGCATGGGCCAATCGACTGCTCGATAGTCAGCGCTTGTTGATCTTGCCGATGTGGGATCCGGGGTAGGAGACTGTCGAGGCCCAAAACTCTCCCCACGCGATCCGGACTCCGCCAGTGAATCTAGGGAAACCCCCTGTTCGGCCACCAAAAGAGAGTCCGTCAAGCGAGACATGCGGGGTAGTCGGCAGTAAAATTAGAGTCAAGAAGTGTGCTCAAGGATAGGAGTTTGGGGGCTGGCACGAAGGATGGGGGCGTCCGCGGACAGGAGTCCTCATGATAAGGTCGCTGTGATGGTTGTGTGAGTCTCAACAAGCCATTCGGGCTTACTTCTGAGCAGCGAAACTATGCCGAGTATCCGGAATTCTTGACCTAGCCCGAGGGACAATAAATATCAATGTATCAAGGTCACATTGTAAAGCCTGCAGTTCGCGGGGGTGGTCATCCCGACATGGTTCCCCGCACAGCGAACTGCCGGGTTGGGGTTTTTGTTTTAGCTGGCGATCAAGTTATCAAGCACCACCTGTGCATCGGCGCACAGATTAAGATCCGGACATTCCTCCGTGTTTTTCAATTTATTATCTCACTTCAGATTGTCCACCAGCAAATTCATGGAGAATAAGAAAGAGAAATCAGGCCAGGCGCGCTATTGCGTCGCCTTGTGATATGTACCTAGGGTAGGCAGTCTGCTTATATGGTGACTCGCGGCCGATTGTGTGCGCTTGGCCATGTTGAAATTGTTCCTTTGATACTCAATCAGAGATGCTAGTCGATACTTCGATCTGGCAGGTCGGAGGGCCCAGCCACCAGTACCAGCTAACAAGTGCGATAGAGGGCTTGGAATGCCTGCCCCTGCTGCCTCAGGGCACCCAACCAGCCACTGCACTCAGCGGCGCTGGTGGGTCTGGAACATTTAGCCGACACCTTAACATGCAGCCACTGATGCCAATGACAGCATCCAACTAAATTTGGCGATGGCTTCATCAATGCCATTCTCATGCTGGCTGAGATTTCCTCACGGCGTTTCCGAATCGAACTCGACGAGTTGAGGCCGCCTCGATCAGATAATCAGGAGCATGGCTCCATGCGCGATTAAGAATGGACTGGCAGCGACCCAACACTGCGACCTCATTCGCCCAGCCAGCCTCAAAAAGATGGGTATGCTCGTTCAGCGTTCGCAGCGGACGGGGCAATGGAGCTTCATTGCCGAAATGCCATTTATTACCGGCTGTCATATTTATACCCAAGCCTCGACCGTCACCCTACACGTAGCTCCTCATCTACAATTCCTGCTCGTCGCCCAGGAGCAGCGCACAACCAGATCGATATCATCATGCTCGCCCTTCGCCAGTACACCGCGCCACGCCCGGCCCTTCGAGCCTCGAGCCGTATCGCTCGACGGACGGCGGCAGCGTCATGCACAGCCCGAAACGCCACACTTGTCGTGCCATGCACACACACAGCGCCACCAGCGCGCGCGGGCAGGCAATTCACCACAACGGCAAGGATTCTATCCGCCAACAATCCCAAAGCACCCTCTGCCACGAGGCGCGCCTCGAAGCTATATCGAGATGCGGACGAGGCGGTCGCAGACGTGCAGAGCGGATCGACTATCTTGAGCTCCGGCTTTGGACTTTGTGGAGTTGCAGGTAAGGCCTGGATGCCACTGGTAGACGCGCGGGACAAAACTGACGATTGCACGCAGAGACGCTTATCCGCGCTCTTCACCGTCGCGGCATCGACTCGCTGCACAGTCTCACGGCCGTCTCCAACAATGCGGGCAAGGAAGGGATGGGTGGCCTGTCCCTCCTGACGTCGTCCGGTCAGGTCAAAAACCTCATCATTTCGTTCCTCGGCAACAACAAGACACTCGAAAAACAATACTTAGACGGCGACATTGCTATTGAGCTGTGCCCCCAGGGCACCCTGGCCGAAAGGATCAGAGCAGCCGGTGCAGGAATCCCTGCATTCTTCACACCCACGGGCGCCCGTACGTTTCCATTCCCTTGTTGACGCGAGAATTCTTGGACTGCCATGGCTAATTATCGTCCAGACTCTCTCCTAGAAAAGGGGAAGATCCCATCCCAATACGACAGTTTAGGCAAGGTCGTCAAGTACGGCCACGAGAGGGAGACGCGCGAGTTCAACGGCAAGACATTTATCATGGAGAAGGCTCTCCCCGGCGAAGTGGCCATTGTTCGCGTCTGGAAGGCCGACGAGGCCGGCAACTGCGTCTTCAGGTATACGACAAAGGCCTTTGGTACGATCATGGCCAAGGCCGCCACCGTCACTATTGTCGAGGCGGAGGAGATTGTGCCCGTTGGCTCTATTGACCCCAACGACGTCCATCTCCCCGGCATCTACGTCGACCGCATCGTTCCAGCGACAGCTCCCAAGACCATTGAGAGTCCCAAGCTCGAGAAGCCATCCACACCAGCCAAGGACCAGGCCGCGCCAAGCGCGTCGCAGATTCGCCGCGATCGCATCGCACGCCGAGCAGCAGAGGAGCTCCAAGAAGGATACTATGTGAACCTGGGTGTCGGACTGCCAACATCGGCACCGGCCTTCCTGCCCACCGATCGCAAGGTGTGGCTGCAATCAGAGAATGGCATCCTGGGCATGGGTCCTCACCCTGCGACGGAGGCCGACATGGACGCTGACATTGTCAATGCCGGCAAGGAGACTGTGACCCTGATGCCCGGTGCCGCCACGTTCGACAGTGCCGAGTCCTTTGGCATGATCCGTGGTGGGCACATTGACGTCTCCATCCTAGGCGCCCTGCAGGTCAGCGCGGCCGGTGACCTCGCGAATTACATGATACCCGGCAAGGTGGTCAAGGGCATGGGAGGCGCTATGGACCTCGTGTCCAACCCGCAGCAGACTAAGATTGTCGTCACGACCGAGCACGTCGCCAAGGACGGAAGCTCCAAGATTGTCCAGGATTGCAGCCTGCCCCTGACCGGCGCAAGGGTCGTCAGCACCATCATCACCGACCTCTGCGTTTTCGAGGTCGACCGCGAGGCGGGCGCCTTGACCTTGACCGAGATAGCTCCTGGGGTGGACGTTGACGAGGTGAGGGCCAAGACGGACGCGCCCTTCACCGTGGCCAAGAGCTTGCGCACCATGGCTTAGATGAACCCCTGCCTATTCATAGAGAGAAATGCGACATAGCGTATAGACTACATAGAATATATAAAGAAACACCAATAGACATAATGCCGTGGACACTCTGCAAGGTGACTGAGCCTCAATTCTATTCATGCACAGCTGCATCTACACATCTCGTCTATTCTTGCGTTCTATAGCTTGGCTCCAGGCCTCGCAAAGTTGCCACCGCCCAATGCCTCCGAGATCGAGTCAACCGATCGCAAGATCCACTCGCTGCCCTCGTCCGACGCCAGCCACTCGGCGCCCTCGACGGCCTCCTCGCCAGCCGTCTTGTAGCTGCCGTCCTCGATCCCCTTCCTCAGCCCAAAGACGTGGCTCAGCACCTGGGGTCCCACGCCAGTCTGCGCACGGAGGCACGCGATGGCAATGACGCTCGTCAGCACACGACCAGTCTTGGCCAGTCCATGTCTCTCTGACGGATCCGACAGCAGCGGCCCGTAATGGCTGTTCAGAATGTGCACCGGCAGGTCGGGATGCGACGTCGCCAATTTCTCCACGAGCTTGTTCTCGAACGGAGCGTACACGCTGTTCCAAAGTCCACGGCCGCGCTTTGTGATATCGGCCAGGTTGGCCTCGGTCGGTTGCCGCGTGCCCCTTGTGGCGAGTTGCGATGTCACGTCCGCCGGCAGTGAGGCGTAAAATGCATTCAGACAATTGATGTTCCGCGGGATTCCATTGAAGGAAATGCATTTGAGTCCGACCTCGCGGATCAGTTCGGCAGTCTGGACCTTGGGGTTGGCGAGGCTCGAAGGTGCCGATTCGGACGCGACCTTGTGGAGGGCAGCGAGGGACTCGGGTGAGTTCAGGGTGAAAGTGGCGGCAGACTGAACGAACCGTGAGCTTTCAAAGTCATGGAAAATTGAATTGATCTTGACATACCGTTAGAGTCACCCACGGTTGCAAGCCAACCTTGTGCTTGGCGGCGTCACTGGCAATGGCTTTGTATACCTCGGTGATGCGCGCTGTGGCAGCGGTCGGGTCTGGGCGCGCAAAGGGCGCATTGATGAGCGCCTTGAGGCTGGGTGCCAGTTTCGGCATGATGGGTGGTAGAATTTGTGCTGGCAAGTCTTCTCGCGTGCCGCGACTGCGCTCACGGTGGCATGCGAGCCGCTTTTGTTTGGAGATGCGAATCAATCTCGCCGATGGACGGACGGATGCCAAATCCAGGCCGAGGCGCTCCCTGTCCGGCCTCTACTTCTGATGTCCGTGTCGTGGGGGTCAGTGTGGGGCGGGGAGGCTGCATCGCCGGAGACTACTTTTGACGCCGACCGAGCATGCGACATACTGCAATGTCACTGCTCCGGCTTTTGAAAAAGCATCCTGTACCTCCATTGATTCAAGGTTCTGATCTTTGCATACCTGGTCTGTCTACCCCTCTGTGCGGAGAAGTGGGTTGTCGTTTCGCTCCCCAGTTCAAGGACCGGCGTCAACCCCAGCGCACATGAACTTGCCAAGGACCAGAGCAATCGGCTAGTCCTCTGTGCCCGATTGCTTGTGATTACTCTTGGGGTTTTGGTTTGATAAAACATCATAGCTAGGTCGGCAAGCATGCTTTTCTGAGGCTTTCTTGCCTTTTCACACTATCACTCATCACAGGCAGAGCAACTTCACGCCGAGCTTCCACAATGTCGTCGTACAAGCCCGCGTCAGCATCCAAGCCCAAGGAGCCATTCTGGCTTGGGTAAGCTTCACTTCCGAGTACGGAAACCAGATCTAACAATTATCGCAGAGGGGCAGCCGCATCCATGGCCGTCTGCTTCAGTGAGTGACTCGATACAAATCCAGAGAAGACAGGGGCTGACTAGGGACAGCTCATCCTCTAGACCAGACTAAGTAGTGAGAATAGAGTCTCAAGTCGCGTCGCAATGGCACCTGACCAGTACAGTCGCATGCAAGTTCTGAAATCAAGAGAAACTATGTTCCGAGCTCTCCAGGGATTCGCAGCTCGAGATGGTAGGTCGCCCTGTATGCTCAGACCGCGTGACAAGGTACTCAATTTTCGGATCAGGAATTCCTTCGTTGTGGACAGGCCTGTCAGCATCCATTCTCCGCCAATCCACATACTCGACAACAAGATTTGGCCTGTACAACATCATTGCAGAAAAGGCAAAGCGGTATTACGGGCAGGAGAAGTTGTCAATGGCAGCCACCATCACCTGTGCTGGACTGGCGGGAGGCCTTGCAGGTCTGGTCGGCAACCCTGCCGAGATTGTTCTCGTGCGCATGTGCGCCGACGGCGCAAAGCCCGCCGCGCAACGATTCACTTACTCCAACGGCTTCCATGGCCTGTACCGAGTTGCCCTCGATGAGGGCCTTTCGACCTTTAGCCGGGGTGTCGGCGCAAATATCACCCGAAGCGTGCTGATGAACGTCGGGCAAATCGCAACGTAAGTTTGGCAGACATTGATCCAAGAGGCACACTGATACTCGTAGGTACGCTAAGACAAAGCAGCATCTCGTGGGGACATTCGGGATGAAGGACGACGTCGGCACACACACTCTCGCATCACTGAGTGCCGGTACTGTAGCGACCACCATCTGTGCGCCTGCCGACGTCCTCAAGAGCAGAGTTCAGAGCGCGACAGCCTCGGGAGCTGATGGTGTAAGTGATCGTTTGACTTTGCTTTTCGGGTCACCGTTAACCTGTTGTAGGGCATTATTCAGATCGTCAAGAAGAGTCTCACGGAGGAAGGTCCTCGATTCCTCATGAAGGGCTGGCTGCCGGCCTGGTTGCGTCTCACGTAGGAATACCAGCCACAACCGTCGGATTCCCTGCTAAAACCTCAGCAGACCACACACAGTGCTCACATTTGTGTTCATGGAGCAGTTGCGCAATCTGACACAGTGGAGAATGCCGGCAACAGAGGCCATGATCCCGGCTGGTACGCCTGTCGCGGCCAAGGCAGAGTCGCGATGATCATGATCGTAGGTGCAGATACCCCGGAGCAACGATACATATACCTCACGAACTGGTGGTGATTTGGTGCCGAATGCGTCTATATGTATTAAGCTTTCTTGTTCATTTTGGGCGTCGAAATGGGTGAGCCTCGGTGTTGAGCACATAGTCGTCGAGACTTATGAGATCTACCGGCGAGAAAATGAGGTAGAAGTACTTCAGCGTCTCTGCAAGCCAAAAGCTCTGTCAAATCGTCAGTGTCATGTCGGTACGTGGGTCAAGCAACATTACCTCCATGCAATCCTCCTTTTCAGTCGTGTCGATAGCTGTCACATCTCGAATAGCCGAATATGCGAGGCTTGTCTCGGTGGAGCGTACTATCCCTTGGAACATATCCCAAGCCAGATCGCGTAGGTCTTCCTTGCCTGTCATCCTATACAGTAGGAAGATGCTTTCGATTGCCTCCGGGCGGAGGATGTATCGAGGGTCGCGAGCATTCATCCAGCCTCTGTTAAGTGTCTGATCGCCTTGCTTGAGCCATTTGTCTTCGTCCCAAGTACAACCTTCTATGGTGTCGCATGGAATGAGGTTAAAAATCTCGGGCATGACACCGGTTGGGAACTGGCCATACGCCCAGCCACAACCCCGAGCCAGTCGCTCACCAATATCAATGTGGGCATCGATGTCGAACAGCTTCCCGCCCAGACCAAACATGCCTCCGGCAAAGCAGGTCAAGTGCTGCCCCTCCGGCACCCGCTGAACCTCGTTCCAAGGAATGTGTACATCACCCAGAAACAAAATATCTGCATTGTCCGGTAGCATTGGCCGATAGAGCAGGTGTTTGACCACCTGTTGCATCGATGCTCGGTATAGCTTCTCGTAGGTGTCGTCCAGGCCGCCCAAAAGTAGGTGCATCTTTGGCAGATACTCGTACAATGAATCGGCGAGCGCACCAAGCGAGAACGTATCGCCAGGTGCTTGTTGCTCCCGAAAATTCAAGGTCACGGGCCACATTCCCGGCAACTTTGTCTTGTCCTGGACGTCCTCAAGGAAACGAGTCACGCGGTCTGCTGCGTCGTAGAATTTGGGGTCTCCCGTGATCTGAGAAAGCCGGGTGAATTCGAGACTCAGCGACGCAGGACACGCTGAAGGGTCGTTGGTCCCCGCAATCTGGATGCCCTTCCTTACTTCTTCAAAATTCAGCCAGAAGCCTGGCAATCGGTTCGGGGTATCAAAGGCTTTGTACAGCATCTCTCCCAGCTCCACGGCTTTCAGTAGCAGTGCTCGTTCCCCGCTCAGATCGTAGGCACCCAGTAGCCCTCCGAGATGCCGAATGGTGGTTTCGAACAGGTTGACCGCACCAGCTCCATCTGGCGTGGTTGAGAAGTCCATTCCAACAATTGCGTTGGTAGCTTCGTAGAACTCTGTCTTGAGGCCCATAATCCAGAGGGTGTCCAGCGTGTCGACCAGTGTAGCCGCCCACCCGCCAAAAGTGTCCTTACCAGCCCCAGTGACGGGCGTAAGCTCGTCTCGCATCCAAGCATGCTGACTGTAGGCAGCGTAGCTCCGCTTGAAGACTCTGAGCACCTCTTGACGACGTGGGTCCGTTGTGCTTGGGTGTCTGAACGAGCTCCGGGGTGCTTGAATCTGAGGAGCCGACTTTGGATGGCCAACTGGCAAATTCTTCATGGAGTTGGCGGGGTGATACTCATGCGCTTGGGCCCAATCGAAGCTGTTGGGAATGAAGCGCACGCGAGGCTGTGATGAAGAGGATAAGAGGTAAAATACCGAAGTTACAAAGGACGCTGAAATGAGTAGAGTGACAACGCGTTGACTTCGACGTCGCGACACCATTTTCAAACGCGCGCGGAGTGGATTGAATGAAACGAGACAACAACTCCATATCCTGGCTCCTGAGAAGGTGAGCGACTCCGAAACTCAAGCCATCGAGATGAATGCCGCCAAGAGAGTTTCGCAAGAGGGTCAGTACTGTGCGAGAAGCAGGGCCAGGACAAGACGCGAGAGAGTAAGTGTCCAGCAGTTGAGCGCTTGGCTTGGCTGCGGAAATCCTCAATGATGGTTGTGGAAGCGCGTGTTGGAAGTTGAAACCGCGTTCTGCCTTGAAAGTGGCGCCTGAGGCGACGTTCGTGTGCCGCCTGCACCTGTCGGGACACAGGAGCCAAGGCGGCAATTAAAGGCGACTCCTAATTGGGTGCCAGTACTTCGGAATTTACCTTAACATTGAGCTAAAGCGGCACGGCGCACAGGGATCAGATTAGCGCCTTTCTAAATGTTGCCTGCCCTCTTCACTTCTTCCTCAACCTCCTCCAGTTGCGCTGTCAATAGCCTTTTGGCGCCTCAGCCTAATTGTTTTATTGCGGCAAACGTGGCCGCCGATTGTGTACAGCTCTGTTCTGCTGACAATCAACTCTTCTTTCACATCCCCCGCCTTACCAGTCTAGAGCGCGAGACTGCCCTACAGCAACGCACTCACAATCAATTTAGCAGACGATGTCACCCTTAAATCATCACCAATCATACAGATACTGCAGCTGCGATAGCAAATGGCGCAAGGTATCCTAATTGTGCATGCTCGATTGTAAGGATCACGCACTGCCCATCTCCAATCACTGCAGCTCGTACGCGATCCTGTTGTCACGTCCGCCATGCACTGCATGCCCTCCATTCCCGTAGTAAGATTGATCAGGCAACTCAGGCCCCACGGAGCTATACGCATCGCCAAAGTACCAGTCAGGCTTGGTCTTCTTCTTCATCTCTTCAGAATAGCCGTGTGTCACTGTTGTTTGCTGAAACTTTCACCGGGTTCTTCTTGGCTCACCTTTTCCGCATCCAGAGCAGAAGCCCGGCAAAGAGCAAGAGGACTGCGGCACCGGTGCCAACTCCAATTCCTATGTTCGTGCCCATTGACATGCTCTCGTCGGTGGACGGCGGAAGAGAAGGTGAGGCAGAAGCAGAAGCAGAAGGAGCGGACGAAGGAGCGGGAGAAGGCTCAGCGCTCTCCAGGACCTCCCAGAACCCATCCCATGATGTCTCCCAGTCATTCGAGCTGGTCTCTATCGTAGTGCCATCCGAGTCGATTGTGAAATGGTCTGAGCGGCTTTGGATATTTGGCCGGGGAGCTTGGCCTAGCCAAAATGCTCCTCTCTCCCGGTTGGCGCCCAAGAAGGCGTCCTGGAGAAAGGCACGACCGAGGACGGCGTTTTTATCGCCCCCCGTACTGCATAGAAAGTATTGGACGGCGCCATTTGTCAAAGGCGGTTCCAGTGTCAAGTTCAGGTAGCGGAAAGGTACGTTGATTGTGAAACCAGCAGTGTTGTCTTCGCCCATGAACGCGAATGAGGGCGCTGACGCGGAGCGAACAATGTTCCTGTATCGACCCTCGTCGATGTTCCAGATATAAAGGCCCAGATCTTCGCGGTATGAGATTGGGAGATGTTTGGCAATGTTTTCGCATGTCGACTTCGGTAAGGTCATGTAAGGACTGCAGGGCTCGAGATGGACGTCTAAACCTTTGGTGTAGGAGTCTGGATTGTCCCTTCTCAGAAGACCGTCCATAGAATCGGAGTCAAAATCGAACGGCGAGCCACCTTCGATGACCTTGATGCTGATATCTTGCAGCACGAGAGTATCGGTAAAAGTGCCTGGCAGACTCAAGATAGGACCAACGACACGATTCTTGTCGTAGCCGCCGAATACCAGAGACCCTTGCAGGCTTGCCCCTGGCACTGTCGGGCCGATATGCAACCCGAATGAACTTAAAGGAACAAGATCCTCCTCTTTCAAACATCAGGGGATTGATAGGGCGTCGATGTCCTCAAACTGTTACGCGGGGTCCTCAGCACCGACGGATAGGCACCCAGCCAGAAAGATATACTTCTCTCCATTCGGATACGTTATGTACTGAGCCTCCACGAGAGTGATAGAATGATTGCCCGCCTGGCCAAGATCAAATACCACAGGATCACGCACTATGCGCATTGGGGTGCTTGTGATTCCGAGACCTTACAGAAGCCCATTTCCCTCGGGTCGGAAAACAACGTCTTCGTTAGGCTGCTGGTACGACACGTTGTAACCTCCGTCGGTGCAATCGCGCCCGAAACTTTGGCCTGAGCAGTAGCTGGTCGACAAGACCGAGGTGTCCGACATGCTGCCAGCAAACATGGATAGTTCCCTGTCACTATAGGTGCCGACAGACATTTGGACAACATTCCAAGGCCCATCGGGGCCTATACTCGTGTTCGACCACTAGACCGCCCGTGGCTTGCCTGAATTGACGAAAGGAAGGAAATGTAGAATGGAGAGGGCAATACCCACAAGCTATAAACCCATCTCAAATAAGGTACAACTTGCTTCTTTCCAGTACAGAGAAGGGTTCTCGAGTAATGGTACGACAGTGGCACGACATCAGTACGACTCTGCAGACGCGATAAACAGCAGAGTACCATACAACAGAGCTAAAGAAGAACGGAAAATAGCTGCGTATAGGCGCCTTGTGGGCCTCCCGGAGACTCTGTCAGGCTGACAGCCATCAGATATAGTCAGGATTGCTTTGCTCAACGCCAGCGTGTTGCCTGGAGGTTATTGGTTGGCCAGGCTTGTTGGTCCAGCCTAAATTAGGAACATGCACTATCTTCTTTCTCAAGGCTCGGCCTTGGGAAATGATCGGACGGCCAAGACCACTCTTGGCCCCTACTTACATATACCTGGCAGTTGTGCGATGGAGTCAAGATTAGCAACATAACATCACGAACAAGCGGTGTTCGGAGACGTCAAGGTCGTCATTTTGACTCTTTCCCATTGCAAAGTGAAGTCTAACTGTGCGGATAAATGTCAGCTCTCTAAGGTGCTTAGAAGTCCTACTGTACATGTATGGCTAGACACAGGCGGCACTCGCCAGATCAGGCTGCAAGGTTCTTGTTTGCAAAAGCCAAAAGCAGCAACTTACAGTACCCTATTAAGTACTACACTTGCTCAAAGCAAACACTCCACTGACGGCGGCTAGCAGGGTGTAGGGGAACTACTCGGTAGCCCTGCCGCCTGCCTGCTCCTTTCCTTGGCATTTTTACACGCAGCGCGCCGCTGATGGTTGACATCCGTCTTCCTTCAAACACATTGCATGTTCAACCAAGATACGCTCAGAAAACTGAAAACACAACATGAGCAACAGGCCTCAAATTTGTCCACCTGAGGATAGTGCTTCTCCCTCCAGTACCCCAACCATTTGCTGGCCCCCCTGGCCCCTTCAACACGAGTCTTTTTTGTCTCGCAATCTGCGAGTCTGCACATGCTGCAGCCAACAACATAGACACCGTTCAGCTGTTGCGGGCGGCAAGGAGTACAAAACGCGCCTCTCGGAGCAGTGAATTGAAAGCAGAGTCGTCTCGAAGACTTGGAAGACGGTCCGGCCGAACGACCGACTGATCTAATCGAATTGCATCTCTAGGCCAACGCGAGTGGCCTCGCAGGCTCGCACCATCATGTTTGCGGCATCATGGACTACAAAAAGGCTTCGACTGGCGGCCACGGCTCTAGTTGGGCTGCTCGTCTACATAGCCATATTTTCTAGTTATCGGGTATCGGATATTTCCACGTAGTGGTAGTCATTGAGACCTTCGGACCATCCAGATACTGACGAGACGGAAGATGCGAACCAGGACACAAGCGCTCAGTTTTCTCCCCTGCCGAGCGATGTCGATTGGTCACAATTTGCCTATAAGCAATGTGCGACGGACAGCGATTATCTTTGCAACTCTGTGATGCTTTTTGAGGCGCTGCATAGGCTAGGCAGTCGAGCAGATCGAGTTCTGATGTACCCGTCGCATATGATGCCCAACACCGAGGTGGAGCAGACGAAGACAGACGATCAACGTCTTCTGCGCAAGGCTGCAGAACAATACAAAGTGCGACTAGTACCGGTTGAAGTCCAGCACAGAAGTAGTGACGACGGTAAGAGATGATTCGAGACAAGAAGGAGAGCAAGAGACTAATGAAACAAGCCACGTGGGCCGACTCCCTCACCAAGCTTCTCACTTTCGATCAAACCCAGTACACTCGTGATTTGTCGCTGGACTCCGATTCCACAGTACTACAGTCGATGGATGAGCTTTTCTTGGTTCCCGACTGTCCTGTCGCCTTGCCGAGAGCCTATTGGTTATTACCCGACAATGTCTTGTCTTCACAGGTCCTCCTGGTCAGGCCCACTAAGCACGAGTTCAACCGCGTTTACGATGCCATTGGAACTGCTAGGGGGAATGACTATGACATGGAAATTGTCAATAATCTGTACAAAGACAACGCCATGATCTTGCCCCATCGCCCCTACGACATGCTCACGGGCGAATTCCGAAACTTGGGCGAGCACGTTTATTACCTTGGCAACGGTTACGAGCCATGGGACCCTGTCGCGTAGTTCAACGAGGCAAAATTCCTGCATTTCTCGGACTGGCCAGTGCCAAAGCCATGGCATAAGATGATCGACAAGCTGCGGGAGGAGAAGCAACCCGCATGTCACCAAGTGGACGGTGTCGAGAAGTGCGTGGAAAGGGACATGTGGAATGGTTTCTATGATGACTTTAGGGAAAGACGAGATGTAATTCTCTCCTTTCTTCATCGCGCGAGCGCCGTGTGTTAATACCAGCAAGCGCGTCTGCAATGTGCGAACACGTACTAGACTTCGAAGACGGCCACGATGATGCCAGCCGCTTTGACGTACGTTGTTAGTTGTTCAGACATGTCTCGAGTGGCAGATTCAAATCGACAATGCCCCGGCCTCCTGTCTAGTAAAGAGAAGAGGTCGAATTGGAAGAATCACAGACAGCAGATCCAGCTCACGACGACCGCAACAAAGAACAGCCATGGCACCGTGTGCCGCAATGGGATGTTCAAGATGTTGCTGTCTCGGACAGGCGGCCTCGCGCGTGAAGTTGCTGGCAGCAAAGGGTCGCAATATCGTGATTCGGATGGCAGAAATACAGCAGAAGGATTGATTATCAGTCACAGCCTATCCATTTCTCTGTTAGCTATTTATACCAAACTAAATATCTGTAAATCGCAGGTACGAGTCAATATGAACAGCTCGCTTGGCACCAACCTTTTCCACGAGCCAAGCATTGCTCAGGCGATTGGGGGTTCGGCAGCAAGGGAAGGCAGAGCGCAAGTAGTGTAGGCCCGTGCGACCTTCCACCGCCATTTCAGGAAGGGTAGGATGAAGCTATCTCGGCGGCCATGGGTTGACGTGGAAGATGAAATGAAGGGCCAGGTCGTCGTTTGGGCCATCAACTCATCATGCAGAATGGATGTGAAAGCAACATAGATTGCGAGTTACGAACTTGCGACAGCCGGAATCCAGACTCCGGACCCAGATCCTGCCTGCTGCTGCTGCATGCGCCCCCACGTCACCCAGTCGTCCGCTGCTACTCCGTACCTTACCTATACTTCTTCAACAACTCCAGGTCAATTCGCTGCACCCTCATTTCTTCCGCGCAGGCAATCAAGCGCCTGGCCAATTCGACCTGCACCAAGTAGGGATTCCTCGTCGACAACGCTTTTCGGCCTCACAGTCACACGGCCATGCCTCTATCCATCGAGCGGCGTGGGCCTGGCCAAGAATCTCAATCGCACGACGAGCCAGAGGCAAGCCAACAATCGCCTGACACTATGACAGAACAGACGCCCTTGTTATCAGGCGATGTATCTTTGGACAATCGACGATCCAAGGCCGGAAGCCGCAGAGTAATCATCATGTGTGCCCTCCTACTCTTCGTTGTCGACGTTAGCGCAAACATTATGGAACCGCCCATAAACCAGCTGATGGAAGACGTGATTTGTCGCGACTACTTCTCAGACCACTCACTGGGCAAAGGAGGCCTCATGGATCACCGTTGCAAGGAACGCATGGTGCAGAAAGACTTTACCACGCTCAAATCGGTCAACATGTTCATGCAAACACTTTTTCGTGGGTCACTAAACGATGCAAATGTTCCGAAACTTACTCATGGTGGCCAGCTCTTCTTGTCCAAATCCCTTTTGGTGTCGTAGCCGACAAGTACGGGCGAACAACGGTGCTCGTCACGGCCATCTCCGGTGTACTGATGGCTGCGGTCTGTGGTGCCACGATTCGTAAGCTACTCAACCCCCATGGCGAGCGCAAGGAACTTGCTGAAAAAGCGAGCAGTGCACTTTCCTACCGTCTTTCCCTCGTGGTTACTGCCCATCTCACACGTCTTTCTACTGCTGGGCGGCGGGGGTCCAATGCTCAACGTCATGCTGTTCACCATCATCGCCGATGTCACCTCCGTTTCGGAGCGTGCAGCTGTCTTCTACCAGCTGATGGCCCTTTCCGTGATTCTCGGCGCAATATTCGGGCCCTTCTCGGCGTGGCTCATGAGTAAGGATCCTTGGCTGGCCGTCTTCCTTGGCGTCTTCATCATGTTCCTAGGATTGGTGACCTCGGTTTTCGTGCCAGAGACGAAAGACTACCGAGTGACCTCGGACTTCTCGACGCTCTCGAACGACCTCGAAGCAGAGCCTGTCACGAACCAGACATCTCGCCAAGGGCTCAAGAGCACGGTGATCCATAGTCTCCGTCTGTGTGGAGCTGACATGGTTCTGGTTTGGCGTTATGTCCTTGGCTCGCCTCAAATTATGCTGTTGGTGTTTTGTGAGGCACTCTTTGTGCCCGTTGCCACAGGCTTGGCGACTTTCCGCATCCAGAGTATCACGGTCCGCTTCGGTTGGAATTGGGCAAAGGTCGGACTCGCCGTCGACGCTGGATGAGAGATTGCTGACTTCTCAGGCAACCTATGTCGCTTCTGTATCAAGCATCACATCTTGCATAGTGCTTCTGACGGTGCTCCCGATAGTGTCGCACCTCTTCACCAGGTTTACAGCCATCCATCCTCTCGACCGAGATCTGCGACTGGTCCGTGTTTCCAGTCTGCTCTCGACACTTGGCCTGCTTCTCTTCGCGTTCGCAGACTCTTTCTCGGTTTTGGTTATGTCCATGGTCGTAATCGGTCTTTCTGCCGGATACACCTCCCAAGTGCGATCCATTATTATGTCCCTGGTCGAGCCGCACATGCTTGCCACCGTCAACACAACCATATCAACTTTCGGGACCTTAATGGCCCTGGGTGCTACTCCACTAGTTGGTTGGCTGTTCTCAAAGGGCCTCGATCTCGGTGGCGCTTGGACGGGGCTGCTTTTCGCGATACTCGCCCTGGTGGCGTTTCTCGTGTCCGCGGTGCTCTGCTTCTTGAGAATTCCGAGAAGCGCGATAGAAATCGAGGAACGGCTTCAGACGTGATCTCCCTCTTCAGGTACAGTCTCCATAGTTCTCAAAGTAAACTTTCTCTTTGAACGAGCTCTGTTGCATGCCCCTTAACCCTACGTTGGTGTTGAGATTGATTTGGTGGCTCCTTGAGCATAGAAATTTGCGATATGGAAAAATAATCATTAGATTGTCTTGTGCATGCGCTCAGCTTTTGTTGATGTGGACTTTGCGTTAGTAGAGCTGCCCCGCGATTTGACTTATCTCCACTATTTCCCATCTGAGCTTCATCACTGCTCGATCTCACACCTGCTGCATGCAACAAACTACGTCAAACATCTATGCACCACACAACAGCATCGTTCTCGCGCATCAATCGCCCAGGCCTATGAATCTCGACTGAGGACACCCAATTCAGCCAGCAGATAATTTCGCAGCCATCATGTCTGACGACGAGGATTTCATGCAGGAGTCTGGCGACGACCAGTGCGTCGTGCTTACATTTGAGAGTAACCAAAGCGCGTGCTGACCCTCATACAGGTACGACTTTGAGTACGAAGAAGACGATGACGAGGAATCTGGCGACGTCGACATCGAGAACAAGTACTACAACGCGAAACAGCTCAAGCAAAGCGACCCGGACGAAGCGATTGATGAATTCCTGGGGATACCACCTCTCGAACAGGACAAAGGCGAATGGGGCTTCAAGGGGTTAAAGCAAGCGGTCAAACTCGAGTTCAAGCACGGGCGGTATGAGAAGGTCAGGTCAAGAAGCGAGCAGCGCGGCGAGGGCATCGCTAACGTGGTCTGCGTAGGCTGCCGAACACTACGAGGAGCTCCTCACCTATGTGAAGAGTGCCGTGACCCGCAACTACTCCGAAAAGTCCATCAACAACATGCTCGACTTGATTGAGAAGACTGCCGAGAGCCCCGAAGCGACGCGGAGCGTTGAGAAATTCTACAGCCTTACCCTCCAGAGCTTCCAAAGCACGAACAACGAACGCCTGTGGCTCAAGACGAATGTGAAGCTCGCCAAGCTCCTCCTTGATCGGAAAGAATACACCGACGTGTCGAAAAAGCTGCGCGAGCTTCACAAGGCTTGTCAGCACGAAGACGGCACAGATGATGCGAGCAAAGGCACATACTTGTTGGAGATTTACGCACTCGAAATTCAGATGTTCGCCGAGACGAAGAACAACAAACAGCTCAAGGCTCTATACCAGCGAGCGCTCAAAGTCAAGTCAGCAGTCCCGCATCCACGCATCATGGGCATCATCCGGGAATGTGGTGGCAAGATGCACATGAGCGAGGAGAATTGGAAGGAGGCCCAGAGCGATTTTTTCGAGTCTTTCCGTAATTACGATGAAGCGGGCTCGCTGCAGCGCATCCAAGTGCTCAAGTACCTCTTGCTGACGACAATGCTCATGAAGTCGGACATCAACCCGTTCGACTCCCAGGAGACAAAGCCTTACAAATCAGATCCACGGATTTCTGCCATGACTGAGCTTGTGGATGCATACCAGCGCGACGACGTGCTTGGCTACGAGAAGACGCTGCAGCGGAATCCAGACCTGCTGGAGGACGCCTTCATCGCCGAGAACATTGACGAGGTGACGCGCAATATGCGCACCAAGGGTGTGACCCGACTCATAGCTCCATACACGCGCATGAGGTTGTCTTGGCTCGCGGCGCAGCTCAAGATCTCGGAGCACGAGGTGCAGGATATCCTTGGGTATCTGATCATTGACGGAAAGATTAAGGGCCGCATCAATCAACAAAAGGGAACACTGGACATTGTGTCGGACGAGGATGCCCAGCGTGTGGCTGCCCTTGGACGATTGACAGAGTCCATTTCGGATCTTTTCAGCTCTGTGTTCAACGATGGTGAAGGGTTCCGGACAAGCGAGCAAGGCCATCCGGATACTGATAATCAGGGTATGCTACGCTTTCTTCAGCCACCCGAGGGCAAGAAGAAGATGGCGGCCAGGGTCAGAGAGCGCATGGTCTAGGTGCATACTCACGGATGCGCAAAGCAAATCGAGGTCGGGGCTGCACACAAAGGAAGAGGAGAACACCAGCAGGAGGAGTTCGTGGCCTCGGCTAGCCAAGGTCCCGGGACAGTAGGGCCCCTTGACGACTTGACGAAACATTGCATCATGTGGCTGGCGCATTAGGGTCCTGTCTGCGAGAGATACTTCGCGTTGACTTGGTATCACCTGTGCGCGCCTCAATGCATTACGATAGCTCATTGACCAAATGAGCACTTAATTCACAGTAATGGCCTGCTTCACTCGTGCCTGCGCGACTTCAGCTTCACTCCCCTGTCGCCGGGACCATCTCCAGATAACATCAAGCAACGGTAGGCTTCCACGGCCGATCAACGTCATTCGTCGGCATTGTGTGCTTGACGGCCGGCTCCGATTCTCCCCAAGCCCGCCCTGAGCATATTCTGTGGTTGCACAGCATTTGAGGATACACTTCTGTGGAGTGAAATCAAACAACATCTCAACGCCCCACGTCCATCCAGGAATTCGAGTACGTCAAATACGAGTTCCATGTAAGCTGTCACCTCATGCACCAGCGATTGAACATCGTGACTGACGTATGATAGTGAAGGCCGGTGGCTAAGCAAGCAAGACTACCAAATCAGCGTCGTTAGCTCTGAGGTGACTACACACAGGCGCATGAGGTCCCGCCAACCCCTTTCCGTGTCCAGGGAAATTTTGAGCCAACCAATTGGTATACATTTCTGGGTTCAGTACTTATGGTGAAAGTCAACATGTTGTACAGACCTCGCTATGCGGAAATCCAGGCCTACTGCACGACAACGGCTTCTCGTTGACAGATGGCCAACCAAAGAACTCTGTCCATGCATGACATCGGAGAGCCCGAACTCAAATGGATAATCCAAAATTCTTCGTCAAGTTTCACAGCCCATGGAAGATCCAATGCAATCTTGCTCGAAGACATTTCTGCAAAAGTTCGACAGGAAACATGCTATGGTCTGGCAGAGGGCTGGTTTGTGACAGGTGCCGGCTGTCTTTGGGGCGCCGCACATAATAATGGAACCATTCAGGAACCTGAGGGTGCCTGGTCTTGATATAAACTGCTGTATATCGTTTGGCAGCGTCTAGCAGACGCCAAAACAAAGGTCAAGATTACTATTCAAGAGTCGCCTGCACTGCGCGCTGCGCCCGTTATCTGTACAAAGGAGCGACATGGTTTGCTTCTGCCTGCGGCCTGGTCACTCGAGTCAGTCAGAGTCTAACTTAGTAGTGTCTCGCTGTATCTAGGCTGCCGATCTGAGCAATTGGCCTCGCTCTCTTCATAAGTTCATCCATACAATTGCGTTCGCACTGATTACCAACAGGGGCAGGAAGTTCGTTAGCTCTGTGTCTTGACCTAACCACACCATCTTCAAGTGGTCCATTAAGCCGTTTTCGGCGTCAATCATACGGGGGCGTCGTCTGTCTGGACAGACGGGACAAGCCGTCCCTTCCGCTTATTAGCTGCCGCAAGCGCGTGTTGTTGGTGTACGTTGGGGGGGAAGGGTGAGGCGTCACAGACTATTAGTCCCCAGCCCGTTTCATCATGTTGCTATTAGCTTACCATGGTGACAGGCAGATCATCGTAGGTTCAATTTGCACAACTGCTACTACCGACCCCGACGAAACATCAGAGAGAAAGGTGCGACAGCTCTGCCGTGTCCTCGCGTCACAGGAAACGAGTCATTGCCACGCCCGCACGTCAGCAAAATCGACTCGCTCTCACGCCAGCGAGCGACGGCCTATCGAACACCCGCGTCGCGGCCGACCTTCAGCATCCATTCATTGAGCTAAGGTCCGAGCCGCGCCAGGGTCAACGTGAACGGCTCCTCTCCCCGGTTTTGTCTGTCACTCTGTCTGCCGGAAAGTACGAAAGGAGTCAGAGGACCGCGATTCTCCCCAACCAATGGCCGGAGTCACTGAGTCAGAAGTCAGAACTCGAAAGATCAGAGGAGGCAGACTCCAGAGCGTGGATCTTGCGGGGTTGTTCAGTCCCAGCGCCCGCGTATTCGAGAGGTCCCGAGTTGCTCCATATTGTCCCTCGAGTAATAATAAGTTCCCAATGTCTGACATTTGCCGGTTCGCCGTTGAGCGTGTCAGTCTGCAGCCACTAGATCCATCATTCAGCTCACCAAGCGCCTGGGCCAGGCCGAAGATCACCCGGAGCCCTAAGCGTCCGGGAATCACACTCTCGCAGTATCAGAGCCGTGCCCCTGGCATGGTCAGCGTCACAGAGGTGATTACCACGTCCACTCGGATCACCGCCGCTCGTTGAGTCGTTGGAATCGAGGTCCCACTCGAGCCCAGTCTTATTAGCCTCTTAGGTGTACATTAGCGACGTTGATCAGCAAACCAGCAAACGCCATCTCAGCCTCGGAACAGCATCGAGCCGACCACGCCAACAACAAATCTTGCCAGCAATGTGGCAACTGGCAAGTAGATAAGAGCAGGGGAGCAATCTTACGGCTAACTAGACTAGTGGGAGCGCTAGCACAGGTTCGATTAGCAGGCCGAGCACTGTCTATTAAGCGAGCACAGTACTACGTAAGTAGGCCGTTTTCCTCCTCGGTCACAGATGATCCTTCCTTGCTGAAATACTCCGTACATATGTAGCCATTGCTAGTCAGCCGCCCACCTAAACAATTTCCTCCGAGAGCGGCAGTTCGTCCGTCGTGGGGATCTCACGGGTATTTCAGCACACAGGACGACTTGCGACCCGTTCGAACCCTTGCTAAGCAGTTGAGCGCATCGCACCACAGCAACAACTGCAAGCAATTACTGGCCGGGGACGCAAGTGTTTGAACACCGAGAAGAGTGTCGAGCAGACCACGAGTTTTTTGAGCCATCATCGATGAACGTGGATAACCAACCTCCTCGAAAATTGTTTTGCTAAAGTAATGAGGCTCTGTCGACCTGTTCGTTGCTTGCCTTACCTTATTAGGAACTAGTGCTATTGCATCGACATCACCTGGCCCAGCTGCGCCAGTGACACATGCACTGGCACTGATAATAGCGGGGATTCCGGTGCAGTCCCCACTGCCAACCTCCCGGGCCCGCCCCGCCAGCCTCTCTGCCTGGAGTCCAGTCCCTGCCACGTATCAGTGGGTGCTGTCAGTTGAGGTCCAGTCCTGTCACGACGCAAGTGCGAGGCACGGTACGGGCGATTTGTTGTTGGCTGCAGAGGAACTGGAGCTGGCGCTCCGACGCCTGGCTGTTAGCGCGTTCACGACGACTGGTCGGCGGCCAGAGCCCAGTACGGCGGTGCCCAGCTGGCTGGTCCCGGTCGCTCGTGGCATTCCAATCCACAAACAATTATCAGCAGGAAGGTGCAACCGACGAACCCATCACCATCTGCAATCCCTCCTTACGTACTACGATCTCTTCCTCAGTTGTTGTCCTCCCGACTTGATCTGGTCTGGCCTCACTTGGTCGGTCTGCTGCGAGGCCGAATGGGAAGCGAGGAATGTTTCAACCTCAATCGACGCCATTCGCCTCCTACCTCATCTCACCTTCATCGCCATCACCACTCAGCTTCCTTCCCACCCTCGGATCTGCGACAGCTTCATCCGCACTTTCCACCGGTGCCAGTGCCACGAACGCCGCCAGCACCAGCAGGGGGAACAACACTCACCCTGCTTCTACTACCCCTTCTGTGCCCGAGGCAGCGTGTGGCGCGAGCTCGGGCTCTTCATTCGGTTTCTACTTCCCCCCCGCGTGCGATCTTCAAGGACTTCGGCAGCGTTGTTCCAGTGTCGGTTTCCAAGGTTGCACGGCCAATGGCAAGACAGCTGGTGCAGCTGTCTCACCTGTACCACAATCATCGCCCAGGCTATTGCACCGGCACTCAGAATTAGTGGCATTCACCGAACCTGACCTCGTGCGCCCTCCCGGCCAAGTGCAACGAAGGCCTCACCAGTTGCGGCCGCGAGATATTTCTCATCATCAACTTGCGCCACGGAGCGCCCATCGACCTCAAAGTCAGAACACCCTTGGCAGCATCAAGATGGAGGACCAGGACCCCCATGGGATGGCTGCGCAGCAAGCTGCTGCGAAGGAGTATCAGCCGGATCTACCGGTGAGTCGTCCCAACCCTCCATGACAACAACGACCCAGCAAAAATCATCGCGACTACACTCGCCATTTTTCGGCCCGAACCTTTGGAGGCTAGGCTGCCAGATCACCCTAGTGACACACGCCAGCCGGAGATCGGGCATGCTAACGTATTGCGTCGCAGAATTATCTGGTAGGCGACAGGATGCCCAGTAGCGCCATCACGGAAGAATACGCCAAAGCAGACGCGACGTACGTCGAGAAAACAATAGTACGTCTCCACCCGCAGTCCCTGGATTCCCTGTCGGCGATATGCCACAAGCAAAGCTGACTTGGTGATGGTCCGCTTCAGGCCCTTCCCGGACAATATTCGCACTACAGACCTGTTCAAGGCGATGGCAACTGCGGTTGGCGAGGCAAGTCTTGGTTCTGCTGCGAGTCACGTCCTTCTTCCAGACAGAGGCTCGCATGAATGAGTGTGCAACTGCTAACACTACTCCAGCAATTGGCTTTGCCTATTTTGAGAAGCTCGTCGAGGCAGGTGTTGCGCAAATCGAGAGCGAATGCAACCGTTTAATAGGCATGAACTCTATGCTCACGGATATTGGCGGCTATGCTTTTGAACTTTACGAAGATTGGGCCGACGACTTCATCAGCTGTCTCCGCGAGGTGGGCAGCCATGCAGGCACACCCATGGCACACGCTCTCCTATTCCAGAAATGGAATGACGGTCCTACTACAGCTGGATACATTTACTACATGCGGTTGCTCGCCGCGACGTACTTGAAGGCCAACGCCGATACGTACGACCCTTTCATCGCCGACAATGGAGGAATTCACGGCTACTGCCAGCACTCGATAGAGATGGTCAACCGCGAGATCGAGCATCTTGGGATCACTGCGCTTGTCAACGTCTTGCTGAAGCCGGTGAACATGGTGTTGGAGATCGCCTACCTGGATCGAAGCCCAGGAAACCAAGTGAACAAGTACAGGCTGCCTGAGGAGGCCAACAGTCTAAGCGAGGCGTCGCTCGGGCCCATCATCTACCTGCTCTACCGCCCCGACCATTACGATATCCTTTATCGCGAACCGCAACCCTTGTCGATCCAGGTGCATCGGGTCAATAGCGTCAGCGACAATGCGGGAATCGCTTCGATACACGAGGATCCCAACGCGTTTGGCGCGATGGATCTGACTTCACTGGCAATGATACCCGGCTTCACGGAGAATATGCCGATCAGACCGAGCAATGTCGATCAGCAGGGGAAATTGCTACGGCACGATCCTTGGGTGCAGTCATTTGCCATGCCGGTCTCGACGCCTACGCCTCCCATGGTCGCACCCCCCTCAAACCCATCACTGTCGCCGCACAGTGCAATGGGACCCAGCCAACCGCCGCCTCCGCCATCCGAGGTGTCCTCTGGCATGATGACTACTGCGCCCGAGTGTACCATCCGCTTCAGTGCACTCCAGTATCAATACGATGGCGGGAACAGCGGCCCGGTCGAGCCGTTCCAGGTCACCACGAGTACATTCAAGAATAGCGTCTGGAATCGGGCGCATTTTGGGAACCCAGATTTCCATCCGGAAGAATGGAGTCCAGAAGATGAGAACATAGATGGTCGTCTTGGTGTGGCCAAGAGGCGAGGCTCCAAGCGCGATTGAGCGTTTGGAAAGGGGGATTGAGAAACGTATAACGAACCAGCATGGTGAATGGGAGTTTTGACATGATGTTCAACTATTTGCGCATGGGTTGGGTCGCGCTGATACATCATAAGCATGCGAATGCGCTCGGCATCAAGTGGTGCCATTTCAAGGCGGGATCCATAGCGCGGGCGTTTTGTTTTGCGAGAGACCAGTGCTTCATCGACTAGCATGGTGGACTGGTTTAATACATCATCTGACAATTGGGCCTGAATGCGGTCAACCCAATAACAGCTTTTGATCTATTTTGTTGATTGCTACGCCACCTCAGTTGTCAATTCGCTGCTCATCAACACAGCCACAGGGTAAGCACGTCGGTCGCCCCTCGCGACCCGCGGGGCGCGAATCGCGAATCGCGCATTCCATCCTGCCACGCAGTCGTAAGAGATCGGGTGTCCGCGGCTGGTCTATCATAGCGCTTCTCCTCACAAATCAAGCTTAAACCATGTCGTGTCGTCCTCCACGAGACTGAGCTCCTGCAACCAACGCACTGCGGGGACAGGGTTATCGTTCGTCGCTTGAGGCTGAGGATGGCGGCAGCAGTGACACGATGCAAGGGGATATAAAGATGACGGAAAGCCATGCTCAAAGTGTCAAAGTCAAACATCCCTAGACACTATGGCCAACCTCGAAAGAAAAGGGAAGGAATTTGCTGGCCAGGCCGTTTCCCGTCTCGACCAAGTCGCACTCGGAGACAGGAAGAATCAACCAAGACCCAAGATGAAGAAAAATGATGACGATATTGTCGAGGATATCGTCAGGGCTGCCGCAGCAGGCGTGGGCCTCGTGTCTGAGGCTATCAAGTATCGAAAAGAGAAGAAAGCCTTGCAGGAGCGCAACCCAATGCCAGATGCCGGTCACGAGCAGCCTTTCCCTGAGCCGCATTCGCAGCAGGGGGCACAGGATGGTAACGCTGAGTGTCTGGCACCACAGCTCCCTGAGAATATCAAGGAGCTGGACAATCCTGGGAGAAATATCGACAATGATCATGCAGATTCTGAGCAACAACAGTCTCAGCCTGGGGGCCCCGTCCCAGCTGCAGCAGCTTCAAATGAAGACCAAGAGACGGCTAAGGATGCTGCAGGAGGCCAGATCGAGAAGGACAAGAAAAAGAAGAAGAAGAATGCCTTGCAACTGGCAGACGAATTCGTTGCACGCTACCCATTTTCTCCTTCCCTGGATCCAGATGCGCCCAGGCCGAAGCTGGCTCTGCCCGTCATCCTTCCACAGAGACGACCCAAGAGCCGCTCAAGAGGCTTCGTGCGCGCCTATGCGCCCGTGCTCGCTGATATTGGCATCGAGCAGGACTGCTTCCTCGACTGTATCGACGCGCTCAACCTCTCCATGGTCCCAAACGAGTGGTTACAGGCTGTCAACCTAGCTGGGTTCGCCGATGTTATCCTAATGGAGCCGCTGCTCATGCTGGCAGGCATCGCATTGCAACTCGCTACGGATGCTGCCATTGAGGCGCAGAGCCGCTACCGATCCAACAAGTTCCTCGACCGCGTCAACGCAGGCTTCTTTGCGCCCCGGGGTCTCGTGGCGTTTGTGGCGACGTGGAGGCATGACTCGACTGATCAGGTTGTCAGCATGGACTTTGAGGGGAAAACAGCTCCGCCAGACAAGCAGCCGCCCAAGGCGACAAGCTTTGTGGACAAGCTCAAGGAGTTGGAGCGGGTGACATCCAGCAAGGATATCCAACGGCGCCTGATGAGGCAGGTTGAGGGCCAGATTCGCCCTCACAACGGTCCCATCGGAGTTCTTCAACCTGCATCTCTCGTCTTTCCGGTCCAAGAGTCGTCTTCCAAACATGTCGAGGGGGGTAAAAATGATGACAAGAAGAAGGCAAGGGGCATTTCCCGCGCGGGAAACTGGCTAGATGAGCACATGGATCGTCATTCCCAAGCTAAGTGGCGCGAGGAGAACCCCGGGCTTCCCATGGCCCAGATGCTCCCAGCACCACAGTTTCGCTCCCGCTATGCAGATCCCAACCATGCTGCGGCGAGTGGTAACTTGATCGATCTTGTGACTGGTGGCAGGTGGGCAGTCGGCAAGGAGCCGAGGATGACCAAGGAAGAGGAGAATGAAGCGACGGGACAACAATGTGACAGCTCCACGCGCAAAGAGAGGGAGGGAAAGGAGAGGGAGAAGAGGGAGCGAGACAGTGCGGGCTGGATGAGTCTGATCAAGATGGTGAGTCTATGGCTTCTCGTGCGCGGCCGTGAATGAAGCTCGACTAATCCCTGGCTAGGACGTCATGTACCTCGTTGTCGGCAATATACCAACGGAACAAGAGATGCAGACTGTTCGGCGGTACATGCATGGCGGCACGTCTGAATGCTGATGGGGGATGTTGACGACGACTCAAGGCTTTGCCGATGCACTCTACACGCGGCTGGTTGGGCCGAATGGCAGCAATTAGGTGTAGAATAGCTATCAGCCCGCAAGCACTATAAGGCCTGAGGGCCGCATAGGGCTATAGAAATGTCCATACGTACCTTCGCACTACATAATACTAGATTCTGCTACCCAGTCCTGGCGACTTTGTCGAGAGAGCAAGATAGGCATGGTGTGACTAGACATCCCAGACGCTGTGTGCATCAATAAGCGGCATGCGACAGCTGAAACTCACGCAGCTTCAAGCACACTTGAATAAATGGGAAATGTTTGTGATTTGTGGTTGTGTTGTGTTGGAAGACTGGAGAAAGTAGGAGCATCCAGGTCGACGTCGGACGGACGGCCGCACGGAAGAAAAGCCCAGCCCAGCCGCCCTCCACTTCCTGCTACCGTCGATTGTCTGACTCAATCCTTGTTGTTTGTGCCTCCCACTCGCACCAAGTCAGGTTCAACGACATGCCCAGCAGCAGATCGTCTTCTCGCACCTCTCCCCGCCCTCGCTCGCTCGTCGCACCCTTGATCTGGCCTATCTAGAGCTCAACACGCCGCCCAATATGGCGCCGTTGCCAGAGCCAGACGACGCGCGCGACGCAGTCGACAGCTCCTCCGATTACTCGTCCGTCTCGGAAGACTCTCTGCCGCCCATTCACGCGTACGGCCACACGTACCATGGGTCGGCGCGGCTCTACATCCCCCACGACGCGGAAGAAGACCGACGCCTGTGCATACAGCACGAGCTCTACCACCTCGTCCTCAACGGACGACTACACGACGCCCGGCTACCGATCGAAGACCCTACATTTGGCCGATCAGGCGACGACGACGACGAAGACGAACAGACGCCAAAATATCACATCCTCGACGTCGGTTCTGGCAATGGCCTTTGGGCAGTCGAAGCCGCACGGAGGTACCCAAAGGCCGACGTTCTGGGCATTGATCTCACGTCGGCCCTGCTGCCGAAAGATGTGCCTCCGAATCTGACCTTTGAGATTGCCGACGTGGCAGACCCTTGGCCCCCGACGCTCTACGACTTTATCCACATCCGCAACCTGGTCGGCGGCGGCATCCGGGACTGGGAGAGACTGGTGGAGCAGGCGCTCCAGCACTTGAAACCAGGTGGCATCTTGGAATTCACAGAGCTGCGCCCACGATTCTACGACGTCGTCCCCGCACTTGCTGATCTTCCCGAGGGGCAGAAGCCCGAGGTTGGAGTGGCGTGCCTTGAGTACCACAAGATATTCCACGCGGCCTGCCAGGCCGAAAATCTCGACTTTGACCCGGTACCGCGCGTGGAAGAGTATCTACAGGCGTCAGACGCCGAGATGGTCCGTGAGCGTGTCGATTGGCTGCCCGTCAGCGGCTGGGGGGCCGACCCGGTGATGCGGAGGAAGGGCGAGTTGCTGAACGAGCTGATCGAGGTCGGCCTGGACACGTGGTCGATGCTGCTTCTTGGGAAAAACGGCATGAGCGAAGAGGAGATCCGGGCTCTGCTGCGGAGGATCCTAAAAGAGACGCAGGATCCGAGATTGAGGAGCTGCTTTAATCTGTGAGTACTCCATCGAGGGCTGAGGCACTTTTGACGCGCAAACGGCGTACTAAATCATGCAGGACATTCATCACGGCGAGGAAACCCTTGGACGATGCGGCGGTGGACGACGACTAATGCTCCAAGGGTGGTCACTCGGACGATTGGCACTGCAGGTCTTCGAAAAAGAAAGGGGTATCATTCTCTGCGTGTGACGGTCCCTCTCATGACGGTCCCTCTCATACCGCCTCAATGTACCGTTTCATCTCCCAATCTGTCACCGCCTCGTCAAAGAGGCGCACCTCGTTCTCACGCGTGCCACCAAAGTGGTCGACGAAATCATCACCAAAGACCTCACGCGCCACGCTCTCCTTGCGCATGAAGCGCGCCGTGGCCTCCTTCAGGCTCTTGGCCAACCGCTCACCCTGGTCGCTGACACCACCGACATCTTGGTCGGCAGCGAGTGGCGGGCAGGGGATCTCTAGCTTGTGCTCCACGCCGCGCCACCCAAGTCCGAGGATGGCGGCCAGGACAAAGTGGGCGTTGGTGTCAGCGCCGGGCACGCGGACCTCGAAGCGCGTGGCGCCTGGCTTGGACGTGGGAGGTGCGATGAGACGGATGGAAGCGGCGCGGTGCTCGAGGCCCCACGAGACGGTCACGGGGGCCCAGAAGTTCTCGACGAGGCGCTTGTACGAGTTAATGGTCGGGGCGAGCAGCGGCATGATGTCAGGCAGCCCGGTGAGGATACCGGCCAAGAAGTGCCGACCAAGATCGGAGAGGTGGGCAATGTCCTTCCACTGCGGATTCTCGTCTTTCGTGTCGCGCGCCAGCAGGTTCTTGCCGTCGCCATCGACAATGGAGACGTGCATGTGGCCGCTGTTGCCGGGGAGACCCGCCTTGGGCTTGGCCATGAAGCAGGGCGTGATGCCGTGCTGTGTCCCGACGCTCTTGACCACGTACTTGAACAAGCCCGCCCTGTCGGCCATGCTCGCAATCTCGCCAAACTCCAGCGCTGCCTCGAAGACGCCGGGGCCCGACTCGGTGTGCCACCCCTCAATGTCGCAGTGGAACTTTTGGCACGTGTTGAAAATGTCGTAAAAGTAGTCCTTGTTGTGGACCGGGCGGGTGAGGGAGTAGCCGAACATACCCTCTGTCAAGGAGGGCAGCTGGTGCGGCGGGTTGTTCTGGAGGAAAGCGGCCGGCGAGGCACCCGAGTCGGGTGTGCGGAATTGGTAGAACTCATACTCAGCTAAAGGATGATCATCAGCGTATGGTCAAATGCCCTTGGGACTCTTGTGTGTATGGTAACCCACCCCCCGCCATGGCACCGTAGCCCTTGTCCTTCAGCTTGTCCAGCTGCATCCTCAGCATTCCCCTGGGACAGGCGTACAGCGGCTTCTGGGTGTCGGGGTCGTGGAAGGTTACGAGGAAGAACGGGACGTTGTCCTCCCATGGTATCCTGCGGAAGCTGTCCAGGTCGGGGATCGCGAGAATGTCCCTGTACCCGTTCTGGGCGTTGGAGATGCCCAGCTCCTTGAGGTACGTCTGGTCGTGCATGTCCCAGCCAAATATGACGGAGCAGAACCCAAAGCCCGCTTCCGCAATGGAGAGAAACTTCTTCTTGGACATGAGCTTGCCGCGGAGGATGCCGTCGACGTCGATGCCAGCGACCTTGACGCACGTGTCATCCTGGAGCAGGGAGGGGAGTTCCTGGGCGGTGATCGTCATGATGGCGGTCGCGTGACTCGAGAGTGCGCAAGTGAGGGACGGTGAGGGCGAGTGGGAAAAGGTTCAGCGAAAGAAAAGAAAAAGACTGGACAAGATCTTGCACTGGGACGAGCACCGTCGGAATGCGAGCCAGAGGGACGAGCGAGGAGCTGAGGGACGATGCGACGATGGGATGTGGGGATGACGACGGACCCACGCATATACTCACTCCAGCAGCTGCGAGCCTGGCAGCCTGCGACAAGAGGGCGGGGCAGGACTGGACCCGGGGCGGCAGGGCCCAAGGGCCCAGGCAGGCTGCTGCAGCCCATGCCGTCGGTCATGCAGCGATCTCGGTCAGGTGCAGGTATCTTTGGCTTCCAGATGCTTCACCTACAGGCTACGCCAAGGTCTACATGCGTAGCACAAATGCGGCAGGCTTCGTGCAGTACGTGTCGCTGAGACATGGCCTTGACAGTGCCCTTCCTTTCTGCCGCACTCGAGACGCTTCCCACCCCAACAAAGTTAATTGACACCATGAGCTCCAACATCAGGACCTCCACCCACAGCCTAACTTGGCCCGCCCGCCCTTCGACCAAAGATAAGCCAGCATGAGCACCTCCTGTCGGCAGATAAGCGACGGTTGCGACGGCGCGCACCCGTCCGGCTTCAGGAGGCCGATGCTTCGGGGTCCCGAGTCCGCGCCGAGATCGGAGCTGGAGCTGATGCTTGGCCCGCGTACCCCTACTACGTATGTCGCTTTGCTGCTTAAGCCGGCTCAGGGACGCGCGAATGATTTATGTTGCTGTCAGCGACACCATTCCTATCCGAATACACATCCAATACACATAATTTAACAACATCTGTCTGTTCAACGCCTGGTCTGTATCGTGGCTCTACATACTGCAGCTGTACCTGACCCCTTGAAGACGCCCCACCAACGCACGCTAAGACAAGGACGTCACTGCGCCTGCCCCGCGATAGGAGCTTCGGTCGTCTTCCCCGCGACAGCAACAAATTATTATTACCTACCCAACCACCACCATCCGTACAGGTAGAGTTGAGCTCTAGTCAACACACCTTCTCCCAAACCACGAGCTAGATCCAAATCGTCGCAATGCCTTCCAACGGTCGTCTCGCAGGCAAGAATGCCGTCATCACCGGCGCTGCAGGGTGAGCACCACCTCCTGTCCCTCCTCATGTCCCCCGTCGCGCCGCGCCACGTCTTACGCACCGCAGCTAACGCACTCCCGCAGCGGCATCGGCCTCGAAACCTCTATCCTCTTCGCCAGGGAGGGCGCGTCCGTTCTCATGGCCGACATCTCGGAGCCCGCCCTCGAGAAGGCGCTGGCCAAGGTCAAGCAGCTCATCCCCGACGCGGCCGGCCAGATCGCCACGCAAAAGTGCGACGTCTCCAAGGAGGCCGACGTGCAGGCCCTCGTCGAGGCTGTCGACGCCTGGGGCGGCCTGGACGTCATGTTCAACAATGCCGGCATCATGCACGCCCAGGACGACGACGCCGTCAACACCCCCGAGGCCATCTGGGACCTGACCCAGAATATCAACGTCAAGGGCGTCTGGTTCGGCTGCAAGCACGCCGTCCTCTCCCTCCGCCGGCACAAGAAGCAAAAGGCCTCCATCATCAACACGGCCTCCGTCGTCGCCCTCGTCGGCGCCGCCACACCGCAGCTCGCCTACACAGCCTCCAAGGGCGCCGTCCTCGCCCTCACCCGCGAGCTCGCCATGGTCCACGCCCGCGAGGGCTTCCGCTTCAACAACCTCTGCCCGGCCCCGCTCAACACCCCGCTGCTGCAGGATTGGCTCGGTGACGACCAGCCCAAGCGCCAGAGGCGCGAGGTCCACTTCCCCATGGGTCGCTTCGGCGAGGCCGTCGAGCAGGCCCAGGCTGTCCTCTTCCTCGCCAGCGACGAGAGCAGCTTCGTCAACGGACACGACTTTGCGGTCGACGGCGGCATGACAAAGGCCTACGTGACCCCCGAGGGCCCGGCCGCCCCGGCGCCCCAGAACAACGCCACAAAGGACTCGTTGTAGATAGGCGCTGTAGATTGAATGAACAACATTTGATTCCAAACTCCGGGTCATGCACGCTCCTATATACAACTACACATCCAACTGATGCCTAGTCAAACTGGCCCTCCGTGTTCCCCTCGCCCATTGACTTGCTGCTCGAGCTCCCGCTCTGGATGGCGCCCAGGATGCCATCCATGTAGCTCGCGCCGCTCCACTTTTGGTGCGTGAGCACGTCGCAGCCGAGCTCCTTCTCGCGGCGCTGCACCAGGTCGACGTACGCCTTCATGCCGCCCGTCTTGAACTCCTTGGCGAGCTCGTTGGTGATGGTGGCGTTGGAGTGCAGACCCGCCAGGGAGATGAGCTGCAGCACGAAGCCCTCCTCGGCAATGTCCCAGATGAACGACTTGAGCGTCTCGGGCGTGAAGCCGTGCGCCATCCAGTTGAACGAGGGCGACAGGTTGTACACCAGGCCCTTGCCTGGATACAAGTCCCGCACGGCACGACCGAGGTTGGCGGCCACCTCGACGTTGGGGTCGCCTGTCTCGACCCAGAGCAGGTCCGCGTAGGGTCCAAAGGCCAGGGCGCGCTTCGTCGCCGCCTCCATGCCGGCCTTGTAGTGGTAGAAGCCCTCGCGCGTGCGTGGGACGTCCCAGTTGAAGTACACGGGCGACCCGGCGTAGTGGCTGGCCAGGCTGCGCCGCCTGGTGATGCCCATGTCGCGGTCCTTGGTGGTGGCGTCGAGGTACTCGTCAATCTTGGCCTGGGACACATTCTGCTTCTTCATGTGCGCGACGGCCGCCTCGTCAAAGGTGACCAGCTTGGTGCTCTTGACCCACTTGGCCTCAAAGGCGTCAATCTCTGTGCCAGCCGCGCCCTTGGCCTCCATCGCCTGGATAGTCTCGGCGAGGGGCTCAATGGACGGGTCGCTGACGCCCAGGATGAACTCGTGGTCGCGGACGTCAATGGCCGAGGACAGCAGCTTGCCCGACTCGGAGTCTGTGCGGGCAATCACCAGGTTCTCGCAGCCCATGACATCCCATTGGAACCGCGCGGCATTGAGGCGGTTGATGTGCTCGCCGACGGGAACGAGGACCTTGCCCGCCAGGTGGCCGCACTTCTTGCCCCCGTGGAGCTGATCCTCAAAGTGCACGGCCGCCGCGCCGTGCTCGGCAAAGAGCTTGGCGAGCTTGAGGACGGCAGACAGCCCACCGTGACCAGTGTCGCCGTCGGCGATGATGGGACGCAGGTAGTCGACGTAGGGTGTCTTGGCGCGCTCCTCGGACGTCATCTTGCGGCGCGTGTCCCATTGCTTGCGGTCGTGCATGCTCTGCGCCTTGGCCAGGCGCTGGACCTGGTTCGGCACCGTGTTGTAGGGGTAGTCGCCAAAGTCCGGGCTGACCTCGTTGGTGCTGGTCAGCAGGGACGAGCAGGCCCAGCCCGAGATGTAGAGGACTTCCTGGTGAGGCGCCTGCTGCGTCATCTGGACGGGGTCGATTGCGCCCACTGCGCCTTGTTAGTGCCCTGTTGCCCAAGGGAGTGCGTGCCAAGTCTCTGCTTACTGGTGTGGACGGGTTGACCCTTGGCCTCGCGCTCCTTGAGCAGGTCAAAGAGCTTCCTCGCCATGATGGAACTTGGGTACTTGATCTGCTGGGTGCCCCTCTTGCTGACAACGTCTGCCGCGCTGTACGGTCTCTTGATGTCCTTGTAGCGAGCGGATGCCCACCAGGCCTCGACCTCCTTGATCTGGGATTCGTACAGATCATCTTCGGCAGATCCCGTCTTCTGGGACTCGGGGAGCAGCTGAAAGGCGTCGGCTGCGCTGGTCGAGGCCGAGAAGGGGTTGGAGGACTGCGCCATGCGGGCGGTGGTCGATATGGCCCGCAGAAAGGTGGCGCGAGAGGTCGCGGCAGCGGGCGTCGATGCTCGCGCTGAGGTTGCCACGCGGCGTGACGAGCGAGCAGCTATGCGTTGCATGATGCGTGTCTGTCTGTCTGATGGTGTCGAATGCTTGGGAGAGAGAAGAAGAGAAAATATTCCAAGGTCTTTTCGACACGAGAAGTGACAAACCACTCTCTGCAACCGGAGACCCGAGCTAAACTGCGAGCATAGGCCGACAGCGGCTGGCGTCGCTTGGATGGATGGATCGATGGATGGATGCTCGACGGGCGGGTTATGCGGGCTGTGCGGGATGGGCCACTCGTGAGTGACGACCAAAAACGAGTGACCTTGGTTAAGCGGTAAAGTATTGCCGAGCAGCAAGTCACGGAATTGGCCAATCACCAGCGGTGCTACCCCTCACGATGGGGACCCGTGTGGCCGAGGACGCGGCTTTCCTCGGCTGTTCTGGCTGGTTGTCCGCCTGTTCTGTGTGTCGCATGCTCTCACCAACCAGGACCGGAAATTCTGGCTGCGTTGTAAAATCTTTCCTGTGTGCGATTGAAAATCTTCAACTTCTTCTCCTTCTCGATATCATCACGCTGGACGTAGAGGTACGTGTCAGATCAAGCCTCACCAACAAGACAAGACAAAGGACCCACCAGCCTCCAGATCGGACTGATCCCCAAACCCCGCCAAATCATCCACTGCGTACCCCGGCTTCAGTCCCAGTTACTCTCATCCGCGCTGGACACTTGAGCATCAAACAGAACCGTCACAATGGCCATGAACATGCGTGCGTCTTCGCGCGCCTTCAACGCCCTCAAGGTATGCAATTGGGCCATTCGACGACACCGCGAATGCAGCTAACAGCAAATCCAGGGCGTCCGCTGCTACTCCACGGCTGAGCCTGATCTCAAGACCGTCCTCAAGGCGGCCATCCCCGCCAAGCGCGAGCTCTTGAAAAAGGTCAAGGCCCACGGTGATAAGAAGATTGGCGACGTCAAGGTTGAGAACACCCTCGGCGGTATGCGCGGTCTCAAGGCCATGGTCTGGGAGGGCTCTGTCCTCGACGCCAACGAGGGCATCCGCTTCCACGGACGTACCATCAAGGACTGCCAGCGAGAGCTGCCCAAGGGCAAGACGGGCACCGAGATGCTCCCCGAGGCCATGTTCTGGCTGCTCCTCACCGGCCAGGTGCCCAGCACCAACCAGGTCCGCGCCTTCAGCCGCGAGTTGGCCGAGAAGGCCAAGATCCCTGCCTTTGTCTCCAAGATGCTCGACGACTTTCCCGTCGACCTCCACCCCATGACCCAGTTCGCCATGGCCGTCTCGGCCCTCAACTACAACTCAAAGTTCGCAAAGGCCTACGAGGCCGGCCTCAACAAGGCCGACTACTGGGAGCCCACCTTTGACGACTGCATCGAGCTGCTCGCCAAGCTGCCCACCATCGCCGCCAAGATCTACCAGAACTCCTACCGTGGCGGAGGCGCCCTCCCCGCCGAGGTCGACCTCGAGCAGGACTGGTCCTACAACTTCGCCGCCATGCTCGGCAAGGCCGGTAAGGAGAATGAGAACTTCCAGGACCTGCTCCGCCTCTACCTCGCCCTGCACGGCGACCACGAGGGCGGCAACGTCTCCGCCCACGCCACCCACCTCGTCGGCAGCGCCCTCTCCGATCCCTTCCTCTCCTACTCGGCCGGCCTCCAGGGACTCGCCGGGCCTCTCCACGGCCTCGCCGCCCAGGAGGTCCTCCGCTGGATCCTCCAGATGAAGGACGCCATCCCCGCCTCCTACACCGAGGACGACGTCCACAACTACCTCTGGTCCACCCTCAACTCCGGCCGCGTCGTCCCTGGCTACGGCCACGCCGTCCTCCGCAAGCCTGATCCTCGCTTCGAGGCCCTCATGGACTACGCCGCCGCCCGCCCCGAGATCGCCAACGACCCCGTCTTCCAGCTCGTCGAGAAGAACGCCCGCATCGCCCCCGAGGTCCTCAAGAAGCACGGCAAGACAAAGAACCCTTACCCCAACGTCGACTCCTCCTCCGGCGTCCTCTTCCACCACTACGGCTTCCACGAGACCCTCTACTACACCGCCACCTTTGGTGTCTCGCGCGGCCTGGGGCCCCTGGCCCAGCTCATCTGGGACCGCGCCCTGGGCTTGCCCATTGAGAGGCCCAAGAGCATCAACCTCGAGGGTCTCCTGAAGCAAGTCGAGGGGCAGTAAAGGGCTGAAATGTAAATAGTAGTGTCTCTCGCGTCAATAGACCAAAATTGCCATCACTCGTGTCCGCGTTTTCTTCTTGACTTGGCGAAGCGCACACCCATCACATGCACTCGTCACATGGACAAATTCTAACTTGGAAAGAAACAGTCTATCACTATCGTGTATCAACCCAAGCAGAGTGGGATTCTATAGCATCGCGGAACCACGCCCTGCAAAAGAAAAAAGTACCTATAAAACGAGGGACGTGCGCAGACCATCGGGGAGCACCGACATGTGCTCCCTACGTACACCATACACCACACCGAGGTCGAACCGACCTGTCGCGCGCTAACTGAGTAAATACACTACGCCGAAAACATGATGCGACCCAGCCTCGGCTCTTGAGGCGAGAGCTTGGAGACTGGGGATAAAGTCCAAAATACATGCCAGATCGGTCACAGACCAACCCGACTACCGGCTACTGCCTGTACCCGCCAGGCCCTGGGCTGCCCTTCGGTTGACTGAAGCCAGAATGACCACTGAAGCTTCGCTGGGATGGCGACATTGGCGAAGGGCCAGGGCTCTGCACACGGCCGTACGCATTGGCGTCGCTAAAGGGCGAGTCGTGCTGCATCCGAGAAGCACCATAGGCCTGCTGGGGCCCAGGGGATCCAGGTGACCGCATCATCCCAGGACTCGACGAGCGCACAGTGCCGACCGGAGGCGGTGGTGAAGCGAAGCCGCCCTGCGCATTGCGTGCACCTTGGAAGGAACTCTGAGTGGGAGAGCGCAGCGCAGCGCCAGCGCCAGCGCCGACAACCGCAGCACCCGCCCAGCCTGCCTTGTCGAGGGAGGTAGTCGACTCGTTGGCGGGAACGCTGTAGTAATTGGCGCCAGCTTGGCCAGTGCTCTTCATCTCATGAGCATCGTACTCGGTCGCCCTCTCGGAGAAGTCGTCGCCCTGGAGGCCCATCTTGCTGTACCTGTTGATGCTTCGGTCAGTCTCCGACGCCTGGAGAGCCGACCGCGCTTCATGCGCGCCACGACGACGCTGCTTGATGCAGAAGAAGATGAGGGCGCCAATGGCGAGGGCACCGACGGCAGCGCCTCCCGCGTAGACGCCGATCTTGGCCGCCTGGGGCAGAGCGTTGAACTTTTCACTAATGGACTTGGAAGGCTCCTGATTCAATGCCTCGTACGCGGTCGAATTGCCCGGGACAATCTCGATGCTTTCCCAGGTTCCAGACTTGTCACCAAAGACGTACTCCTTGCCGGTGCTAAAGTCCTCAATGTAGGCGTCCTTGACATACATGTCGAATGGACCCTCGTCGAAATTGGTATCACCACCGGCCCATTTGCGAGTCCACTCGTTCATGGAAGGGTCGCCACCAGCCCAGATGCCCAGGGACACGCGCATGGGTGTTTGGGGATAGATGTCAGTGTCGTTGACTTTGGCGTCCTCATGGCTAACGGTCCGGACAATCTTCTCATCAATGTAAAAGTCCATCTTCTCCGCCGTCCAGACAGTCGTATAGTTGTGGTAGTCATCGTGGCAGGGCGTGTCCATGTCATGGTACTCGCCATTTTCGTAGTACTCAATGTGCTTTCCGAAGAAGTTTGTAGACGCTCGGTCGTCTGTGCCTGTGAATTCCCAGTCTATTTCGTCCAGGTTGTCGCTGAGCATCATCATGGAGCTGACAATGCCCCGTCCTGTGGCAGCTTTGAGCGAGAAGCTGACGCGGCCGAAGAAGATGTAGAACTTGGTGTCGATGGTGGGAGATTCACCTTGCTTGCTGATGGTGAACCGGGCTCCCCCCTCCTCGTCGTAGTGCATGGGTCCTACTTTGGTGCGCCAGAGGTCGCTGCTGGGTGTCTGATTGAAGTGCCACATGTGCGACGTACCGAATGCAGGGTCAGGCTTGCAATCGGTCTCGTTCATTGGGTTGCAGTCCGTCGTGACCTGCGCAGCTGCCAGCCCGAGGAGGGCGGCTCCGGAGAGCAGCCTTCGCCAAAGCATAATGATTCCCGACTTCTGTGCTGGACACAAAGAATTGGTGCCAATTGTCGAAAGATGGCCTCTTGTCGAAAAGAGCTGTTGGCGGATTAGTCCGGAAAGTTGCTCAAGAGAACGCGGTCGTTAGGTCTAAGGAATGTATGTCGTCGCGTGTCGGAAAGAGTGACGATGTCGTTTGTCGAAGGGATTGTGATGGTGGGGAGGCCAGACTCGGAACGCTAGAGTGTCGAAAAGAAAGACTTGAGGCAGCAATGTCTTGGTCTTGTTCCAGGTTCGATCGATGTTCATCTAAGGAATGACTGAGGTGAAAGATCGAGAGTCCTCCACTGGCGCCTTTGACGCTGGGTGGCGGCTTTGAGGTATTGATGGTTGAGGACCCAACTAAAGGAGAGAGATTCCTATGGGGCATACGCATTGGACTCGATTCTTGGCCATCTCTCGCCGCCCTGCAATCCTGTCTAGCAAAGGGCGCCGAGCCCGATCGACATCATTTGGCAAGAACGGCGTCTTGACTTATCGCTAGGCGCAATTTCCTCTTCTCCTTGGGATCCATCTATGTAAAAGCTTGGCATAAGCACCTTATCGCCATTGGTTTCTTCGCAAGCCATCAGCTTGTGATTGGTGATGGCCGGGTTAGTCCAGGGGTAGGCCCCCATACTCATGCACTGCACGGGTGACGCTAGTCTGGCTTGGAAGTTTCAATGTGAAATTGTGGCACTACCGACATGCTGCTGCAGAATTGCCGATTCGTGTGTACATGTAATACAGCACGGGGTAATTGATTATTAGTATTATCAAAATCGAGCAATAGACGAATATTATCATCTCACATAGCATATGAACAATTTTGCACCCATCCAAAAAGACCATGTGATTCACAAAACGCTACGAACAGAAAAACTCCATGCTCACAGTCCTGCCGCCGACCATGCTCTCGATAGTGTAGAGTATCCAAATTTAACCGTGGCCTACAACCGTTAGCGCAATCCGATGGTGTGAATGTCCACAGATAATAATACTCACGTCCAAGGCCCTTTCCGCGCTTCGAAATGTCCTTTGCATGGTGCTGCTTCACCTTTGCTCGTCTGGCTTCCTCCCTGGCTTCCTCCTCGAGAATCTTCACCTGCGCCCTTGCGTCTCTGACCCTCATCCTGGCTGCGTCGAGGGCGCGGTCCGCTTCAATCTCGGCCTGCTCGGCACTCTCCACCTGGTCCCGCGCGTTGGCGATGCTGGGGTCGACGTTGTTGTCGCGACCAAACTTGCTCAGGAGGCCACTGTTGGTCTTGGAGTGACGGCTGTGGTTCATGGAGTGGCGGCCTGACGAGGACATGCTGGAGCGGCTGGACATGGAGTAGCGGCCAGCAGCAGGAGGAGGGGATGGGGAAGACCCGCGGCGGTTGAACAGGCCGTGCTTCTTGGGAGGCTCGTGGGTGATGGGAGCAGGCTCAGGCTCACTGCGGTGGAAGAGACCCTTACGAGGCGCAGGCTCTGGCGTCGGCTCGGGCTGAGTGGCATGGCGGGAGTTTCCAAAGAACGGCATTGTGCGTATTTGTTGTAACTAGGCGGAGTAGATGGCTGGTTGTTTGTGTAGTTGAACAATTACTCTGGGGGTGAGGGTGGCGGCGATGCTTGGCCTTTACATAGTCCCATCCGATGCGGACACGCTCTGTGATATTCCTTAGCTTCCATCATTATACTCATACGACAATCAACCAGAATGCAGCGATAAACCTGTTTGCCCCCCAGTCGATGAGCGCTCAAGGGACCAAATGTGTCTGATTTCGAATGTCACTGTTGGGTCGCCCCTTGCGCTGACGTCAATTCTCGGGTGGTGGTGCGCCGCCTGCCGTGGGGTTGAGCCAATCGCTGGGATGATGACGGAGAACCCTGGGAATCATTCAACGTCAGCGGCACGCAGGGTTTCGAGTGGAGGAATTCACAAATGATCTGTTATTCTTGGCCAACGTGATAGGTACTCGACACACGGGGACCACTGCATTGGGCGTGGAGGCCTCTCTGACCTCGCAGGAGGTGGGAGACATTGACCGTCATTTGATCGGAAGACGAATGGGGTCCCCGTTCGTATTGATACTACGTACGTTGATGCCACGGTAGCATATCTCGACCACGTGTGAGATAGGGAGTTTTCAACGTCATTGCTTGACACGCCTTTGGTAGCCAAAGACAAGCCCTGACATTACGGCTCTGGAGCAACCTCAAACCACATGGCAAGTCAGACTGCTGCTTAGAGGGTTGCGAGCACGGGGTTTACACCGTCCTCAAGGGACCAGCGTCCTAGCCAGTAGGCTCACGACTGACGAGCTCGCTCAGAATCTACGATAGTGATTGAAGCAGATTCAATTAAAAGACGTAGCTAACATACGAACAAAACAAGAACCGAAACTGCACCAAATCGCGACAGGGCTTGTAGGTGTTCGACATGCCTTCCGCATAGTCGTGGTATAAGCTTGTTTGATGGGGCGCAGTTTGTATGCCCGCGTTTCCGTTTTCCATGCCTGTGGGCAACCAACACACCGTTGGCCCTGTACTCGATTCTCCGCCGGTGGGACGAATATATACATGTGAATGAGTTTTCGCGACGTAAAAAGGAAATTAGAGCAAGCATGGGGAGGAGTATCGAGACAAAATTCGGATGATCAGTCGTGTGTCGCGTTCGCTGGTAAGTCGCACTGGGGAATTGCAGTCTTTCTTGCTTTGCTTTCGGGCTCGCCCTTTTGGTTGCGTTGGGAATCCCAGGTTGAGTCGAGGATTTTTCGCGTCTACATGACGACGCACTTGCTCTCTTCCCTGTCCTTCTTCACGCTCAATGCGACGCGAGCCGCCTCTGTGAAAGCCTCGTTCACTCCACGATTGCGCATGGCCGAGCATTCCAGATACCGCAGGGCGCCTATGCGTCGTGCTACCTCGAGACCTTGGTCATAGCTGATTGTAGGCTTCTTCTCGAGCGGTTGGCCGTCCGCGCCTGTGGGTGCTGTCGCCTCTTCATCGTCCTCGTTCCCTTGCTCCCGGAGATCGCACTTTAAAGCGACAAGCACAAGTTTCACGCCGGGGCAGTTGTCGGCAATCTCGCCTACCCATTTCGACTCGACGTTTTCGAGAGAGTCTTTGCTGTCGACGGAGAAGCAAAGCATGATCAGGTCCGTGTCATCTAGGAACCGTTAAGTTGCGCCTTCGCCTGGTGATTATGGACGGGCTGTCGTACCGTAGGATAGTGACCGTAATCGGTCGAATTCCTCTTGACCGGCTGTGTCCCATAGTGAGAGTTCAATGTGTACATTATCAACAAAGATATCTGGGGTGTGTCAGACCAGTTCTCAGGGTGCCAAGATTGTTGTGGCGTACCGTGAACGTAATTCTCGAAAACCGTCGGTTCGTATACTGTAGGAAAGTAACTATGCAGTTTAGCGGGTATCCCCGAAGACCATCAACATGCGACTTACCCTCGCGTGAACACGTTCAGCAGCGATGTTTTACCGCTTGCGCCGTCACCCCTATAAACCAGTCAACCAAAGGTCATTTCTACGAGCTCGAGGCATACGCACAGCAAGACGAGCTTGCGGTTGACGGTCTTAGATCCACCGCAAAGAGGCATCGTGTCGCCTGCGCAATGCCTTCTGGCAGGTGACGGTTGTCAGGACGATCGTCCGTTGTGGAAGGTTGGGACTATGGATCTGTCGCAGCAATGTCGTGATCGATATTAGAGCAAGCTTAGAGTGAAAGATTGTCGTGTCCTTGAGGGCGATGGACGAGAAGCAATGACATGTACTGTTATCGCAAGGCAGGCTCGAATACGGCGACTATCGCATCGATTCAATGGACAGAGGCCAAAGCTGGGAAGGATTGGAAGATGCGGCAGGAGAACGGGAGTTGAAATGAGCTGCGCCGTCTCGCATACCATGTCCCCAAAGCCGGGGGCGGGAGGCTGCTCAAGCCAATCAAATAAGGTTCTGGACTGTCGCCAGCAGGGGTGCGGGACTTGACGCTCCACCACTGTGTGCTAATCTTGTGTTAGTGTCAATAGTGTGCCATTGCGCAAGCCACTAACAGTAGGACCAGATCGTGAACAACCTTCCTGGTTCTGTAGTCGGACTGTCCTACGTGGGCACTACGTAATGATCTGTCTAACAGACGCTGTATCATTGACTCATGTTGAAGACTTGTGCTCCGACTTGAATCTTGGATTCGAGCCCCGCAAGACCAGCGGCAGCGCGTGGAGAGTGTATATTGGAGTGCGTCTGCGGGCGCCCGTTGCGGTAGTCCTGTACCGGTAAGTCGATCATAGAGAACAGGCTTTCATAGAAATTAGCAATCTGGGTATCATTTGTGAGCTATGGCTGGTATCTGCTAATATCAAAGAAGAACTTGAGCCATTTTAGCACGACTCGACGCACGACCGGCATTGTGATTAGTCCTCATCCCTTTCAATTCCTTGTCTGCCTCTGCCAACGCGATCCGCGAGATTCAAATTGCCCGCCTGCTTGTGAAGACCGTTGACAAAACCTCGATCGCCGCCCCGCTCGCGACCACGAGCATCTTGCTCCCTTGCTTGCCGCTCGCGCTCTTCTATGGCTGCGAGGCGCTGCACCCTGTCCTGATCAAGATCTGTGGCTGCGGACTGCATGGCGGCGAGCTTATGTGCCCGCTCAGCCCCCTTGTCTGCGTTGCCGGCATCTGGTTGACGGGATCCGTTGTGGCGATGCCCGTTTCGTGTCTGGCCATGTTGCGTCCCTTTGTCGTGTCGTCGGCGGTCCGATCGTTCTGGTGTAGGCGATCTCCTGCTCGGTCGGTGGTCCCCTCCGCGTCGGCCGCGTGGATCATCATGGCGATGAGAGCGCCTGTCGTCCTCTGGAGACGATGAGTTGCGATGAGATCGATTGGTTCCCCTGCTAGACCGCCCCCTATCCTCATGTCGGCCACGGCGGTCCCGGTCCGGGCTACTAGTCTCACGCTCGTCGCGGTATCTTCGGCTGCTTCCACGGTCGTCGTGACGATCCCTTCCCCTACTTCTGTGTGAGCGCTCCTCGCTTGAGTCATTAACCCGTCTGGGACTTCGCGATCGAGAATAAGATCGTCGGCGCCGTCGGCGGTCTCTGCCCTCATCCGAATCAACACTTCGGTGCCGATGCCTGCGATGCCGCCTTTCTTCCTTCCGCCGGGATCTGTCTTCTTTGTTTTTCTTGTCGCCATCGCCCATTCCCATCGCAGAGAGCAGCTGCTTGCGTCTGCCCGGATCGTTCATCATAGCTTCGTAAGCAGCCTGCTCCTGTCGTTTCATCGCAAGTAGAGGGTCGTCGCGGATTTTGGAAGCGGTGTCTCGTGCTGTGTTCGCGTTTTGTAGGGCCATAAAGCTGTCTTCGCCAGCCTGCTTTTCCAGCTTCTTGTGATCGGTGCCCTTGATGAGATTGTCGATGCGTCGCTTGCCCAGCAGGTAGGCCTCGGTCTCTTCCGTGGTCCCAGTCTGTCCATCGGTTGGGCCTTCGTACATCCAATCAACTCTATCGATGCGCTTCTTCCCTCCGGCAGCCTCGAGTTGGCGTTGCAGTTCCTCCTTCTCGCGCTCCTCCTTGATCTCATTCAGGCGCTGTTGCGTGCGCTTGCGCTCTGCAAGGGCTTTTTGCTCCTCATCGTAGACAGCGGCTTGGTTGCGCCGCAGTCCTGGATGGAATGACTTTTTTAGGTTGAGATCCCCGCCTCCCATGATGACTATGTGTTGCTGACGGCTTTGTGCTGCTGTGCGAAAGTTGCAGTGAAGACTGGAAGGTTGGGAGTTTCGGGTGGGACTGCTGGCTGTGACGTTGCTGCAGGGTCTTGTTGCTACGGGGCGGTCACGTGATACAATGCTACCACAATTCATGCAATGCGATTTCTTGAGCGAAGCTTACAGCAAAATCTGTGACCTTGTCAGAGGAGTAGATTCGTTTCATTTTGCATGTAAATTCTACCACGCTGAACTGGTGGTGTGGGAAAAGTCCATCCGACGATGCTTAAATGGTGCTAAACAGGGGCCAGTCGTTCTGTTCGTCCACTCCATAGCCCATGCTGATATCGTCCAGTCGTTATAGACGATATCCAGGCGTCGATTGTATTTCAGAGAGCGCCGTGCAATATAGCATCGGGTCTTTCGTGCCGATTCGTCCAGTGCTGGTGGAAGAACAGTCGCCCCCCAAATGTCGTGTACACGACTTCGCACGCATTTGCTCCGAAATATGGTATGAGGTTGTTACAATCGCGCGTATTGTACAATGGATATACAGGTCTCGCATACTGTCCTTCTACCAGGACGCCCTCTTCACACCAGGGAGAACTCCGGCCATAGCCTGCATGCGGAAGTTGAACTGGGAAAGTTAGCCTTAGATATGGAACACCGGCAGCGCATTTCCTTACGCGAGACATCTTGAAGTCGCGGAACACACCACGGGTGTGGCCTCCAATGGTACATCGGTTGCGGATCTGGGTTGGCCGGGTGTAGTTGCTCATCTGCTGCAGCTGAAGCTGCGCCTCAGCACGCGCTCTCGCCGGGAGACTCGTATTTCGGATGACATAGCGTAGTGCTTGCCTGACAAACATCATTAGTTGTGGCCTGTGGCGTGGATCGAGAATCCCCTTACCTTTCCGCTTCGTGCTGCTCGAACACCAATCGCTTCGTATGATCACGGACCGTCCGCGAACCGACGTAGCAGCCGATGTCAAGCGTCTTCTTCCTCCAATGCGACATGATTGCGATATTGTGTGTCTGGCGGAAGCAATGTCGGCGATGATGTCGGCTCGCGCACGAGGAAAGGATGCTGCGAAAAAGTGCTGCCGAAGCTTTGCCGCGGGTAGCTTCGCAGGGGCGCGTACAAGTATTCCGCACTCTATCCACCACTGAGAAGCACCACCAATCAAGTGAGAGAGTTAATTAGAAAACAGTACTTTTCAAGGTACGGCTACGGTAAATTCGTACTAGAGCCTCTAGAGCGGCGACCCCTGGGATTCTCGATCTTGTTAGCCACTGCCCTCGACGCCTCCGGACAATCGTCCCTTTTGCCCGCCCTCTAATTGTTCCGTTCTTCGTCTTTCTACTGTCGCTCTCCTTGCTTTCGGTTGCGGTTTCTCCTACCCTCCTTCATACATTACGTTAATATGATACTTGCCTTTTGAATTGCATTTGTATCTATTTTGCTTTAGTTTCGCACCGCGCTGAGGCATAGCGTGTGTCACGCCCCACGCGCCTTTTCGATCGCAACCATGGATGAATCCAAGCGTGGGTTTCTCAGTCCGTATCACAGCTCAAAAGACTCCGAATCCGATCTTGGCAGTCCAGATTTCCTCGGCAAAAACAAGTCCCCAGGCGGCAAGACCTCCCGAGCGTACGCCACGCCGAAATCGAGAATCGTTTGCAGGCCCATGTCTGGACGACCGAGTATTCGCGTACTGTTGATTGGATTGGCTGCGGTTGTCTTTCTACTCGTAGGAGGCGGAGGCTTCACATATCACATTTCTGGTTCGAGGGACGGGCAATCGCCGCCATGGTACCCGAGTCCCAAGGGTGGCACGGCTAAGCAGTGGGCTGCCAGCTATCAGAAGGCAGCCCAGCTGGTCTCGAAGATGACCCTGCCCGAAAAAGTAAACGTTACGACGGGAACGGGGTGGAGCATGGGTTTGGCTGTTGGGAACACAGGGCCGGCCAACAATGTTGGCTTTCCAGGATTGGCACTGCAAGACGGACCCCTGGGAATCAGAATGGCGGATAATATCACAGCCTTCCCTGCAGGCATTTCTGTTGGTGCCACATTCAACAAGAAGTTGATGTACGAGCGAGGCAAGGCTCACGGGATTGAGGCTCGCCAGAAAGGTATCAACGTGATCCTGGGTCCTTCTGTCGGACCCATTGGTCGAATGCCAGCTGGCGGACGCAACTGGGAAGGATTTGGCTCGGATCCCTATCTCCAGGGAATCGCATGCGCGGAAACCATCAAAGGGATCCAGGACCAGCACGTCATGGCCACCATCAAGCATTTTGTCGGTAATGAGCAGGAGCACTTTCGTCAGGCTTGGGAATGGGGTCTGCCGAACGCCATATCGAGCAACATTGACGACCGAACGATGCACGAAATCTACGCATGGCCCTTTGGAGATGCTGTGAAAGCCGGCGTGGCCAGTGTAATGTGCTCTTACAACCAGGTCAACAACTCGTATGCCTGTGGTAACTCGAAGCTTTTGAACGGCATTTTGAAGGACGAGCTTGGTTTCCAAGGGTTTGTCATGTCAGACTGGCTGGCGCAGCGGTCAGGGGTTGCCAGTGCACTGGCAGGCCTAGATATGACCATGCCTGGTGATGGTCTGGGTTGGGCAGACGGCAAGTCCCTGTGGGGACCGAAGCTGTCTCAAGCTGTCTTGAACGGGTCACTGCCGCTTGACCGACTTGACGATATGGTCACACGGATCGTTGCATCGTGGTACCAGCTGGGCCAGGACAACCACACTCTTTTCGACGCGACTGGTCCCAACTTCTCTTCTTTCACGGAGGAGAAGATGGGAGTCACGGCACCTGGCAGCCCGACAGAGCAAAGCCTTGTTGAAGTCAATAAGTTTGTGGACGTCCAAGCTGACCACGCCAAGATTGCTCAGGAGATTGCCATCGAGTCCATTGTCATGCTGAAGAACGAGAGGGATTGGCTCCCGATGAGTCGTAATGCCGAGTTTGGCGTAGAGAGAATTCCTTGGAAGAATAAGAAGCTCAAGGTTGGCATTTTCGGCGAAGACGCTGGACCTGGCGAGGGCCCCAATGCTTGTCCCGACAGGGGCTGCAACCAAGGTACCCTGGCTATGGGATGGGGCTCAGGAGCTGTTGAACTGCCGTACCTGATCACACCCGCTGAGGCGTTGCAAAAAGGCTTCAACGCTAGCAGGGTTGAGGTCACCAAGTATCTTGCGAATGATCTCCCCGGGCTGCAGGAGTCTCGTGCCTTGGAAGGTCGAGATGTCTGCATTGTGTTCGCCAACTCGGATGCCGGGGAGGGCTTTGTGTCCTGGAACGGGATCAAGGGGGATCGCAACGATCTGAGATTGCAAAAGGGCGGAGACGAGCTTATCTTGGAAGTGGCCGACAAGTGCGGCGGCGGCAAGGGCAAGACCATTGTTGTTTACCATGCCGTGGGGCCTGTGTTAGTCGACAAATGGATCAATCACAAGAAGATCAAGGCCGTCTTTGCTGCTCACCTGCCTGGCCAGGAGAGCGGGAATGCGATTGCTAGTATCATCTTTGGCGACGAGAGCCCAAGCGGCAAATTGCCATATACCATGGCTAAACGTGCTGAGGACTATGGCGACGGAGGCGAGGTAATGTACACGCCGAATGATGTGGTTCCCCAACAAGACTTCACAGAGGGCATTTACATCGACTACCGCTGGCTCAACAGAGACGGCCTGTTCCCGGTGGATCCCCAGTTCTCTTTTGCCTACGGTCTGCAGTACACTGGCTTCTCGATGGACAATATTCAGCTGGAGGTGAAGAAGCCTAAATCCGCCTTCCCTGCTCCGCGACCAGCCCCTGGTGCCAGGCCGCCGGTGTACAACGGCACGGTGCCCCCCGTCGAGGAGGCCTTGTGGCCGAAAGACATTCGCCGCCTGGACAAATATATTTACCCATATATCGATTCAGCAGCGGATATTCGACACGGACACTACCCTTACCCCAAAGGCTACGATACTGAGCAGCCCTTGTCTGGCGCTGGTGGCGACGAAGGTGGCAACCCTGATCTGTGGGAAACATACGCTGTGATCAGCGTCGAGATGCGCAACTCGGGCAAATTCCCAGCCAAAGCAGTGCCACAGCTTTGGCTATCATACCCGCCAAACTCTGAAGCTACGGTGGACTTTCCCAAGCGTGTGCTGAGAGGGTTCGACAAGTTCTACCTCAAACCTGGGCAGTCGAAGAAGGTGGAGTTCCCGGTGACGAGGCGTGACCTGAGTTACTGGAACGTGGAGGAGCAGAATTGGTTGATGTTGACCAAAGGGAACTACGTATTTAGCGTGGGACTGGATGAGAGAACCCCCGTTCGCCAGATACTGTGGTGAGGCACTGTAGAATAAATGATATTTAATGCTAAACAAGTTGGATATAATTTCTTGCTCCGAGCGCCCGATGCGTTCTGTCTTGTTTCGTACGGCCCCGAGAATGAGGCGGTCGATCCCATCTTTGTCGCTCGACAAGATCTTGGTGGCGCGTGTGTCAGAGAAGATCCTCGATACGCTCCCCATCGCTCCTTTGTGGTCGATGCTGGCATAGCGTGCAACTAACGCCAGGCGCGACGGCGAAGTCGAGAGAAAGACAGGCAGAGTCGGCGGACTAGAAAGAGCCCATCCTGCAGTAGGACAAGTCACATCATTCACACCTCGTTGCACGATAACGGCCCAACAAGGTGGAAGTAGGTGGTAAATCAATTGTGTGCGCGTGCGTGCGTATGTGCGTTATTAGCCTGCGACCCTTTGTGGCCGGGAGTTTGACCCCATATGCGCCTAGACGTGCCTCGTCCATTTCAAATGACTCGCTTCAATATGAGAGAGTAGCCTTCATTGAAGCCTGTGCGTGTGAGTGCGTGTGCTGAATCTGGTCTAACGATGAGAGCAGCACGCTCACGGCAGCCCGACGCGCTTTGCGAACAACAGACCACAGACATTGCACAGCGTTCCCGGTCCCTCGGGTCCCGAGCGCCATTGCGGCGTGGACTTTGTATGGCATTCGTGACAGATGAAGCGATGCTTTTGCGGTTTCTGTACCGATTGGCATGAGTACGTTACCTGAAACTGACAGAGCACAAACGTCCTAATTACCTGAGTCACACATTTGCGGCGCGATGAGCGTGGTTCTAGGATACCAGCTTTCAGGGCTTTTAATGTAGTTGTATACCCGTTACTGGGCGTAGATTGTGATGTATGAGGGGTTGTTGCTTCCCTACGATCGTCAGGGCTGCTGTTGTTGCTGTCGGTACCGCTACTGGTGGAATGTAGCCATGAGTCGTGTGGGTTGCGTTCGCTCCAGCCTGTACCGCTGACGTTGACGAATGTCGTCGCATCGTGATTCAGAGCAGGGTGCGCCATTGCAATCGAGATTATAGATGAGTGGTTGAAAACGAAGGGAATTCAGCGATCACGATCCGGGATTGGGCAGAGGACAAAGGAGAATGAAGCTGGGGAAAGCAGGATGCTCGGCGACGAAATGCGATCGGTGGTGGGTGTGATCTGATATCTAGGGACCTCCCAGGGACCTGGCGATCGGCAGCTCCAGGTTGCCATCACCAGATCGAGACCTGGCCACAGGGGGCGGCGGCGGTGAGATCCGTCAGACTAAATTGGAGAAGACCTCTCAAGATCGTCAACTCTTGTGTACGTAGCAGTAGCACGATGCTGAATTTTTTTTCTTTCCTGAAACTCTGCCGTGTAAAATGCGTGAATCGCAACTATTCACGATGGCATCGCCCTCAGCAGATGCCATTGCTTGTCACTGTCCCAGGATGACGTAGTTCCCGCACCAAGAAATACGTACGTATTTGAAGAGGGAAAACGGATCCGGTCCTTCAAGCGTGCAGCGTGCCCCACAGATCAGCATCACTCAGCCACGACGAATTCGTCCGGCGGCTTGCTCTCTGTGGCTGAAGATTAAATGAGGCTCAACTTCCACCACTTCCCCTGAAGCGGGTTTCGTTGGACGGATTTCGGAACGCCGAGCATTCACAAAGGCAGAACCGGCAACTTCATCCCGGACAGAGTCGTGTGGCCACGCTAATGTTGCATAACTGTGCATAATTCGACCCGGCTCAGTGGGGATCCGGGTGGACCGCGGGCATTTTGCCTGTCGGGGAGTATAGCCTAGGCCGGGGAAATGGATCTCATCTCGCGGGGACCCTGAACGCCAGCACTTTTTGACAGCCATTATCCATACAGCACACTTTGCAATCGGCTCTTGATCGAAAACGACGTTCTAAACAGTCAAAGGAAATGTAGTATGGAGTGTAGATGACTATATTCCTCACCATAGTTGCAGGGTCCTGGGGTGATCGTGGACCCCAAGTCAGTTGCAACTTGTAAGCCCGTTGCCCAACATTGATCGACCACCAGAGAGAGACCGGACTGTATCATTGGTCGGCTAGAAATTATTTGCCAGCAGTCTAAGGAGGGGGTAGGAAATAGTTCCTGGTTTTATGTCCGGAACCCGGCCTTGGAGTTGACGATTTATGAAAGGTAGCAGGCTTCTGGTTTTGTATACAGTCAGACGCCCGTCCACTAATACCTATTCGTGATTCTTTCACCTTGGCTTCATGTTCTCTTTACACATCCTACAATTACCCTCTTTCTTCCAGCTTGGGGAGGCCCGTCCGGAAATCCATACAAGCTCTTCATAATGGGGGAACCAGAGTCAAAGACGGTCCACGTGGTCGAGGGCGACCTGAATGCTGTTGGTTGGGAAGGGCCAGATGACCCCGAGAATCCCCAGAACTGGCCAGAAAAGAGGAAATGGGCAAACGTGGCGGCTTTATCCATCATGACCATTCTCACGTACGTTTGTTATTGAATTTTCGGAACATGGAACTTGACTCACAGACATTGCCAGGCCTCTGGGTTCGTCCATGTTCGCCCCTGGCGTCCCAAACATCATGCGCGAGTTCAAGTCGACCAACGAGAACCTTGCCACGTTTGTCGTATCCGTTTATGTCGCGGGATTCGCCTTTGGACCTCTGCTGGCCGCGCCTGCGAGCGAGATCTATGGCCGCGCCATCTGCTACAACATTGCCAACGTCGCATTCATCGTCTTTTCTGTGGCCACCGCTCTCAGCAAGGATATGGGCATGTTGATTGGCTTTCGCTTCCTCATGGGCTTCGCCGGCTCGACACCCATCACCAACGGTGCAGGAACGGTGTCTGACATGTTCCCGGTTGAGCAGAGGGGCAAGGCCATGGCCATCTGGGCCATGGGTCCGCTCCTCGGGCCATGCATCGGACCTGTTGCTGGAGGCTATCTTGTGGAGAGCTTGGGCTGGCGTTGGGTTTTTTGGATCATCGCCATTGCGGTAAGCTGCATGCGCCTGTATAACCATTTGCAAAATGGCTAACAATCTAGGCCGGGGCCATATCTGTAGCCTGCTTCTTCCTGGTGACGGAGACATACCACCCTACCCTTCTTCACAGAAAGACCATGCGTCTGCAAAAGGAAACTGGGAACGTCGACCTCTACTCCAAGCTCCAAGACCGTTCCGTCACGCGCCCCCAGTACTTCAAATTGTCCATGGTGCGACCGCTCAAAGTTCTTTTCATGTTGCCACCCGTCAGCATCATGGCGCTCTACATCGCTCTCGTCTCGGGGATTATGTACTTGCTCTTTGCAACTTTCACCTTTGTTTTCGGGCAGCAGTACATGTTCTCGACAGGGATCGTGGGTCTTTCGTACATTCCAACAGGCGTGGGGTGTATCATTGGCATGATCTTCAATGGCGCCATGACCGTACTGAGTACCGGCGGCCCCGTTTCTCTGCACTTTAGCTGACCTTGCCGCAGGACATTTTCATCAAACGCAAACTGGCCAAAGGAGAGGAGCCGGTCCCCGAGGACAGAATTCCCCTGAGTCTGACGTTGACGGCCGGAACCATTATCCCCGTGTCCATGTTCTGGTATGGATGGTCCATTGAGCAGAAGGTGCATTGGATATGTCCCATGATTGCGACCGCAGCCTTTGGGTTCGGCATGATGGGCGTCATGGTAAGTGCTTTGAGCTTTTTGAAATCAGCCTTTGCGTTCCTAACGTTCCGCAGATGTGCATTCAGATTTACCTCATTGACAGCTACGTCAAATATGCGGCCTCCGTGGTGGCGGCTATCACTGTTCTGCGGTCAATCGTGGGAGCTCTACTACCCCTGGCCGGTCTATCTTTGTACGAAAACCTGGGCTACGGCTGGGGCAACAGCCTCTTGGGCTTCGTCGCAATACCCTTGGCAATCGTGCCTATGGTCATGTTGCGATTTGGCCCAGCGATTCGACAAAAGTTCAACCATGTCAAGCTTTGATGTTGGAGTCTTTAGGGTAAATAGTTCGAAATGGAAATACGTGTATTGCCGACTGGAATTTGCATAAGCTGTTGCCCGCCGCAAAATAGGCTTCATGCCAGTGTAATGCCCTGCATGAATTGTGCACATGGACCCCTGCCGTGCGTTTGCAACCAATCATCGGCCGGGACTGTCCACGACGATGAACGCATCAGCGGTGGTCAAAGCTTGTCCAGGCCAGCCGTTCGAACACCTGCAGCCTTCCCCGTCGGCGCGCAGGGACTTACGAATATCGCAGGCTCACTCCTGCTCTGCACTCTGCAGCTCAGTCGCTGTCATAGCTGTTGCATCAATTGACCAGCATCGCATCGTCGGGAGCGGAGGGCGTCAACCTCGAGATCGTTTCACTGTCACAGGCAGAGATTTTCGTATTCTCCAGCCCCTCGAATTGCATCGACTCGACGCGCGCATAATTTCTGCAGCGCGAGCTACCTCTTCCACCTCGACATACCGCGCATCACAGCCTTCGACGTGATGCCCTCAACGAGCCCTCCCGGCAATGTCGCCGGGCTGCGACCCGCTGTCCTCGGACTGGCTAAGCTGGTGACACTTACATACTCGACTGTCGCGGCCTCACCGCTGCTGCCGCGCGGTCACCACGTTGGAAATGACGAGGCAGAGGAGGAAGACGGCATGCCCATTTGGATCTATCTTGTCGCCTCAGTTATCCTCACGCTCGTTGGAGGTGTGTTTGCGGGTCTGACAATCGCGTTGATGGGACAAGACAGCATCTATCTGCAGGTGTTGCAGGACGATCCGACCGAACCGCAACATAAAAATGCCAGAAGGGTGCTGGATCTTCTCAAGAAAGGCAAGCATTGGGTCCTTGTCACCTTGCTGCTGAGCAATGTGATTGTCAACGAGACCCTGCCTGTGGTGCTGGATCGCGCACTCGGCGGCGGTGTCGCAGCCGTTGTGGGCAGCACGGTCCTGATTGTAATTTTTGGCGAAGTCATCCCGCAGTCTCTCTGTGTGCGCTACGGCTTGCCCATCGGCGGGTACATGTCCAAGCCCGTTCTCGGGCTCATGTTCGTGACCGGCTTCATCTCCTGGCCGACCGCCAAGCTTCTCGACTACCTGCTGGGCGAGGACCATGGCACCGTGTACAAGAAGAGCGGCCTCAAGACCCTTGTGACCCTACACAAATCTCTCGGCGAGCTGTCGGAGCGCTTGAACCAGGACGAGGTCACCATCATCACGGCCGTGTTGGATCTGAAGGCCAAGGCTGTGTCGGACGTCATGACGCCAATGGACGATGTCTTTACGCTGTCGGAAGATCACATCCTGGATGAAAAGACCATGGACAAGATCCTGCACATGGGCTACTCTCGCATCCCCGTGTACCGCGCCGGTAACAGCTCCGACTTTGTTGGTATCTTGTTGGTCAAGACACTGATCACCTACGATCCCGAGGACAATGTACCCGTCAAGGACGTGCCGCTGGGAGCCGTTGTCGAGACGCGTCCCGAGACAAGCTGCTTGGACATTATCAACTTCTTCCAGGAGGGCAAGTCGCATCTTGTCTTGGTGTCCGAAGCCCCTGGTGGCGATCACGGGGCTCTGGGTGTCGTGACGCTAGAAGACGTCATTGAGGAGTTGATTGGAGAGTGAGTTACCCGCAAAGCTCGGAGAGGGATGAGCGCTGACATGAACCAGGGAAATTGTGGACGAGTCGGACGTCTACGTGGACGTGCACAAGGCGATCCGCCGCCTCACACCCGCCCCCCGTGCCCGCCGGATCGAAGCCACTGCCGCTGCCGCCGCAGCTCAGAAGACGACGGAACATCCTGTTCTCGTGGACATTGCCGAAGACGGGCAAGGTAACACCATCCAAGTCGGGTCGTATGGTGCTGCGGGTGACGGCATTAACGACACCCGACCCCGGACGGCCATATTCATGAAGCGCCGCCGGTCTGCTGGGCCGGATGGCCGTATGGAGGAGAGGCCGGAAGCCGTGCGTGGCTCGCTAAAGGACGTGAAGCAGCAGATGCGCCTCGGGCCCGCCAATAGGGCTGCGCACCCGAGAGCGTCGAGACGCGATCAGTTCAAGACGAAGCAGGGCATCAGCGGCCAGGACCGGGAGACTCCTCGTTCCGCATCCGCGAACGCTAGCAGTGAAAGAACGCCTCTATTGGATGGCGAGCAATCGGGAGAGCGGTCCTCGCGCGGCAAAGCCAATGGAAACGGTAACTGATCAGCCTTGAGGAGGTGGAGGAAAGAGGGACGGGGCAAAAGAAGGCAGATTTTTTCCAACCTAGAACACATCGCGGAGCAAAGATGAATTTCCATACACGGGCTGCACTGGCACTGGGCGTCGTTGGGGCATCTGTCGAAAAAATATGGCAGCACACATACATCAATCAAGTCATTGCTTTGGTGTGCCTCCCTAGCGCTGACAACAGTCATTCATACCAGATAGCATTCATGCCGAACCCCGGCTCTTGTACCCGACACCTCGCGACCCGGGCAAGGAACTCGCCTTGCCAGCGGTATATCTCGAGCCAACCCTCCTGATCATCCGTAGTAGCAACCCACTCGTCCGTCCACGGGCTCGGCGAGACAGCGTTGCTGTGCCCTCCGCTTGTCGGTGTAGGGTTCAAGCAGATTTGCCGGTCCACCCTGCCATTCTCGTCCAACTTGAAAGCGGCAACATAACCCGTCAGGTCATAGCTATTCGCTCTTGACGAGGCAAAGAGATAGTCACCTGAGCTGGACAGCGCGCAGACGTCGGCACGGTATTGCGTCCACCGATCGGGTATACCGGGCGGGATCAGAGGCCAGTGACGGTGCGTCCAGACAGGCATGTGCGTCGACGGGTCAATCACGTATTCGAGAATACGGTTGCCCTTCTCCATGAGGGCATAGAGGTATTTTCCCGAGGTGTGCATCTCCACCCATCGCGGGTGATCCCGCTCGTCGGGACAGTCCACGCTGCCCACGAGCTCGACCTCGGGGCTGGTGGGCTCCGTCTTCTTGTGCACCCAGATTTTGTTGGCCTTGAGATCGGCAGAGTAGAGGTAAGTTTCGGTAGGATCGAAGACCATCCCGTGGATACCGGTGTTTGGTTGATACGCGTAGTTCTGGATATTCTGCTTGAGAGCTCCCTCGTCCGAGACGGAGAAGGTCGAGCCGTGCCCCGCGTGGTTGTAGAAGGGGTTGCAGTATACGCCATACGGCGGCTTTTTAGCGGCCAGCACGAAGATGGCACGTGTGTTCGTTTCGGGACTGGACGCCTTTGCTGTGCAGGGTCAATGGCTGCACTGAAGGGGAAAAAGGGGTTGGCAGTGCTCACGGTCGTGGAGCATGGGATGCGAGGCTGTCTGTGTGATTGAGGTTGGTGAGTCGACTTTGAAAGAAGACCACTTCTTCATGGCAGCGCCATAGATGGTTTTCCTGCTGTGCTGATATCATTAGTCCCGTGGACGGGTCCTCGTGGCAGCGGTGATCTGGTGGTCATACATTGAAGGTCATCCATGATATGGGCTCATCTTCTGGTATCGCCGCCCTCTTGATCATCTCGAGAGATAAGGTCTCCGTATTGAAGGCAAAGGTGAAGATGGCGCCCGGAGGCGTCCATGTTCCGACCATGAGGTGGTGGATGGGCATCTTGGCTCTAGCTGCTTTGAGCATACAGTGTCTTTACTTGAGTTTGTGCCTGTGTCAAGATGTCTTGCAAGGCTCTGAACGGCTCCTACCGATCATCGACAACAAAACGTTCACAGGCCGCCTAACATCGGCCACTCCAAAGCAGAATCCTTAGCCGGTTCGCGCGATCTTGACAGGTACGTATAGTTTCTTGGGGTTGGAGTGAGGGATGAATGTTTACCCATCTAACATGGAGTCGTGAGCGAGCCATGGCGGGGTATGTGGGGTGCGCCTCACTCACACGAATGGCCTGCAAACGGATTGCTGGTCTGATCAGGGGATCGATCTAGATCTAGAAGTTGCAGGGGAATGTAATTCTTTATATCAGTCCTCTATGAAGTCGCGTCAAACCGCGCGGTTCGCGCTGTCCCAGTGGTATAGTGGCGCGAGCGTCCGTCCTGCTACCAGTACAACTGCCGCGAGCCTAGCCGACTCGCAGACCCCTCAACCTCCAACAGCCGACAGCGCCATCCGAAACCCATCCATCCATCGTCGCCCATCGCAGAAATGCTGCGGAAAGGATGGCCTCCACTTGTTGGGTGATGCCTCCACCTGCTGGATTAGCGCATGCGGGGTAGGCACACGCCATCCCTCCGTCGTGACATGCCGTCGACGCTGAGTCTCCCCCGATGGAAGCGCATTCATCCAGGATCTGCGTCGGCGACTGACCCCGGCAAAGACAATGGTGGAGGTGGACTTATCAGCGTTGGCGCATTGTCATCATAAATAGTTATAATGGCCTAGATACCTTCCATCTACGAACCTTTTGTATATACTTCTGCTGCTGTTCACTGCCCTGTAGGCGCCACAAGCGACGTCACCATCTAATACGTCTCCTGACTCTCCTCTGCTTGCCTGCCCTACATCATCACAGCCATATTCACAATGGCCTCCCAGGACTGCCACCCTAACCCTCACGACGAACCCACGGTCCCTCCCCCGAGCCGCTTCGATCCTCACTTCACCCAGCATGTGATCGACACCATGGGCGATAACGTGTCGCCTCGCAACCGTCAGGTCCTCACCAGCCTCATCAAGCATCTCCACGACTTTGCCCGCGAAGTCGAGCTCTCGAATGACGAGTGGATGACGGGCGTTCATTTCATCAACGCCGTCGGCCAGTGCTCGACCGCAACACGCAACGAGGCGCACCGCGTGTCCGACGTGCTGGGCCTGGAGAGTCTCGTGGACGAGATTGCAAATAAGATCGTGGCAGAGGGCGACATTGACCCGACGTCCTCCTCCATTCTGGGGCCCTTCTGGTCGCCCAACGCGCCATTCCGCGAAAACGGGGCCTCCATCATCCAGAACCCCTGCGAGGGCGGTCGGATCGCCCTCATGCACGGGACCATCACCGACCTGGTGACCGGCAAGCCCATCCCCAACGCCGTCTTCGACATCTGGCAAGCCAGCGCCAACGGCAAGTATGACTTCCAGGACCCGGACAATCAGTCCCCCAACAACCTCCGCGGCAAGTTCCGCGCCGACGAGAACGGCAAGTACTGGTTCTACTGCTACCACCCCACGGCCTACTCGCTGCCCACCGACGGACCCTCGTACCAGCTGATCCGTCTCATGGACCGCCATCCCATGCGGCCAGCGCACATCCACATCATGGTGACACACCCCGACTTCAAGGGCTGCACGACACAGCTGTATCCCAAGGACGACCCCTGGCTGTCGACGGATACGGTGTTTGCGGTCAAGGACGACCTCATTGTGGATTTCAAACCAAAGGAGGGTGATGCCAAGGCGACGCTCGACCTCGAGTACAATGTCATTCTGGCGCCAAAGGGCTACAAGGGGAAGCAGTTTGGTAATGACGCAAAATTATAAGCCTAGAAAAATATATGAGCAAGATAAAGTGTAACGTTTGGCATGCTGTTGTACTCGTGCTTGGGTTTCGCTTGGCTGCGGAGCTTGGTTTCCACAACGATGACATTGCACTGCATCGCCGAGGCTACCTCGAGATACCCCATCAGCAACGACTGAGGTATTACAGAGCACAGACCGACAGAGCACATGGCAACCAGATGTATCAAAAATCAAGACCAACCAGAGCGTGTCGGATCCCTGCAGCAGTTGTTCCCCGCGAGTCCGCGAGTCGCGACAGGCTGCACGTCGGTGGTTGTCGGGGTGACCGCCTGAAGTAAACAACCCACCCCACCCCTCCCGACCTCGTTCACGTTAGTTATTGATTACTTCGGGTCCAGCCCGTCAAGACCCTGGAAACAACGAAAAAGCATTCGCCGCCAAACGTATCATGACTTCTTAGCTGTGCATTCTTCGGCATCTTGTTTCTCTTGCATCGCGCCTGCGGGAGCTCTTCTGCCCATCTTCTTCTTCGAGCTCCTCGCTTTGTCATTTACTTCCCACATCATCCTTTCGAACCAGTGTTAGGCCATCGACCATGGCATCCGAGTCTGCCCCAGTTCGCCACCACCAACGGTCCAAGTCATCGGTTATCAGATCCTTCGTCCACCGTCGTCAGCCTTCGAAAGGCGAGGCTCTTGTTCCTGAACCACAAGCAGCGGAGATACAAAACATTCCAGTAGCCGCTCTACCGTCAGCCATGGACGGCCGCGGCGCCTTGAACAGCCATACTGCACTAGGCGAGCTGCAAACAAACAGCCAGGACCCCACATCGAAGCAGTATAGGACGTCAAGAGAAGAAGAATATGGCGAGAATTTGAGAGGACGCTCGCGCAGTCCGACCAAGAGTGCCTTGAGCAACCCCTTCAAGTCACGTGAAATGTCACCGACAAAGCCCACAAGTCCAGCGAAGCAAAAGTCTAGCACAAATCTCGCTGGGCTGCTCAGACGGCCGAAGTCGATCAAAGAAATGTACAAGAGTCTCGAGAAGGAGGAGGCCAACATGGGAAAGGACAAGGAAAACCAGGCACCCACGGGGGAGCTGGCCACCCCTCCCCCGATCTTCGCACAATTCACGAGCGACACCTCAGTGCGACAGCAGCAGAGTGCTCGGTCGAGTATGGATCCCGGCCGTCCTACTGGCAGCCAAGACCTCCTTGGCCATACCCGACCCGTGATCCGTGAGCGCCCCAAGTCGTACCAGTTGCCGCCTACCTCCGGCCCTGCCTCGCGATCGACATCTACCGCATCTGACTCCAGGCCGGCCAATTCCAAGAGCGCCCGCAGTAGAGCCTTTGCGGCGCTGACGGGGCTCAGCCATCGGGGCAAGCCATCCGCGCCATCCAGTCCTGTCATCAACGAGCCGAGCGAACTCCACATCGACCCTAAGGATATTGACCAGCACCTCGAGGCCCTGCTGGACCGTCGTAACATCCCTGAGAACCAGCGCTTCAAAATGCGCGGGTTGGACAACACCATCAAAATGGAGTTCATTCGTCAAGACTGGGCGGAAACAAAGGGAGCTCATCCCGGGATCATGGATAGCGTCAACGGCAAAGAAAATGACAGTGCCGTGAACATGGGAACCGATGACGAGGACAAGCCGAAACGTATGCGGGGCCGGAGCTTCACATTCTCGAGGGGCAAGAAAGGGGGCAGCAGTAGGTCGCCTTCGAAGAAGAGGGAAGGGACGCTCGGACGACACTTTCGCAGCAAGTCAACCGACAGCGTCGTGAGCGATGGCAGGCCAACCTCCTCTCACGGCCCGTCAGCGGCCAGCAGCCTGTTGTCCAAGATGAAGCTGCAACAGGGCCCAGGCGACTATGTCGCGTACTTGCGAAAAGTCCAAAAGCCACAGCTGGTGGAGGTGGGCAAGCTGCACAAGCTCCGGCTCCTGCTTCGCAACGAGACCGTTGCCTGGATAGAGGACTTTGTGCAGCAAGGGGGGATGAAGGAGATTGTCGGTTTGCTGAATCGGATCATGGAAGTCGAGTGGAGGTCAGTAGTACGTTCCATTGCATCGCTTCCCAGCTGACCCGTCACAGAGAGGAACACGAGGACGCACTTCTGCACGAAAACCTGCTATGCCTCAAGGCACTCTCGACAACCGCTCTGGCTATGCAGTACCTCGACACCATACAAGCCGATCTCTTTCCGAAGCTCCTCCACATGATCTTCGACCCGGAACGCAAAGGGCCCTCGGAGTTTACGACCCGGGGCATCATTACATTTGTCCTCTTTACGTACATTCAGTCTGCCACCCCGGCTGAGCGGGTCATCCGTGCCAAGGCCGTGCTCGCGCACCTTCGTGATCCCGAGCCCAAGGACGATCAGCGACCGCTGCCGTTCGTGATGGACATGCGGCAGCAGAGGCCGTACCGTGTTTGGAACAAGGAGGTTGTCAGCGTGACTAAGGAGGTCTTCTGGATCTTCCTCCACAATCTGAACGTCGTCAGCTTGGAGAAGAAACCGACCAAAGCCAGCGAGGGGGCATACGGATACATGGGCCGCCATTTCCCACAGGAACGACCACCTGTGCCGGCAGCCCCCTATGTCGGCGGTGTAGAGTGGGATGCGACCAATTACCTGGCCTCTCATCTAGATCTGTTAAACGCTATCATCGCGTGCACGCCTACCGCATCGCAACGGAATGCCCTCCGTGCCGACATGCGCATCAGTGGCTGGGAGAGGCTCCTCGGCGGCCACTTGCGTCTGTGCAAGGAGAAGTTCTACGGCAGCGTGCACGACGGCCTGAGGACTTGGGTGTCCGCCGCGGACGAGGACGGCTGGGAGGTGAGGGATGTGCGGTACGGTCCGGCTCCTAGTGAGAGCCCGCGCAAGGCGAGTCCGATCAAGCGGGCAGAAGCCCCAGCGCCCAAGATTGAGGTGCCCAGGTTGGACCTGGGCTTGGACAGGGGCAGCAGCGAGCAGGATGGGTGGATTGAATGAGGTGCACTGTACAGGATTGCTGTTGTTTCTGGGGTTTCCTGTTGATGGGTACGGACGTGGGCTTTGTCGGATTTTGTTTAAGCGGCGTATGCATGGATGGATTGGGTTGGATTAATGAGACATGACACTATATGCCAGAGCGCCTCCGTCGGTGAGACACAGACGGCGCCACTGAACAGCCAGTCGGCGAAAAGACGGTATCTCACACTGACTCAGGCATTGCAGATGCGGCAGACAAGCGTGAGACAGGACAAGGATGGTGGCTTGCTGTCGCTCCGTTGTCGGTGACATGGCTAAAAAATGTGTGCAGGGCATGAGATATTCTTTTGTCGACGAGGACTGCGGGATTCATCGGGTTCATCAACGTGCGCAAGAATCATGATCATTACCCACACGGGCCTGAACGGGAGTAAAAGACAGATGTTGTTAGCTGCTGGCGACGGGCTGGTCACCGGTGTCCACTAGTTTTATGGTATGGTATTCCCAGTGTTTCAGATGCCTGTGCGTATCCGCACCCATGAGGATCGGTCCGTGCCTTCCAAGGCAGTACGTGTATGTATCATCACGCTACCGTCGCTACGCAGCTCGCTCCCCTTTACGAAAGCAACGGTTTCACACCTCATCATTAGGACCGAACTGTCGGATCCATGGGTTATCAAAGGAGGTGAGCATGCCAGAAAGAGACGAGAGACAGCATCGCATGAATTCATGGCACCACCAGCATCTGCATGATTGCGTATTCGTGCTGCGGATATTCCAGTCCTTGCTGCCGACTTCAAGGGCCTGTTGTCAGTTAAACTCTGTACCCCATGCACAGGAAGATACAGAGCTCACGAATCGTTCCGTGACTAGTAGGTTGTAGTCATGTGGAGACTGCGAAAAGGGGCAGGGTAATAAATCGACTCGTGCCAGCCTCAAACGGCAATGCTGCCCTTGGCTGCTCGTCCAACTTGGGATGTCACCCTTGCGGCAGCGCTGCGTGCCCTCACGTGAGTAAGCATGCCCACGTACGGAATGGAGACTCTTTGGCTATGTGTCGAGGGTTTTTAGCGTCAACCAGCCGACTGATAGAGACGGGGATCGTGATTCATGATCCAAGCTGAGATATCTCGGGTGGGGTCTCTCGCATTTTGTACGGAGTAGCTGCAGAAAGACATGTACGGATACGTCTTCCCTACACTGTGTTCCCAAAACCTGGCAGATCTGTCCTTTCTTACTGCATGGTAATGGTCTGATCTGCAAACAAACAAATAGTGAACATCAATGTCGTCCACGGTGGCGCGGCAGCTCCAGGATTCCAGCTCCCACACGATAGTGTCGAGAACGTGAGCATTTGGCCGCAGCCAAGTGATAGCACTCCGCTCCAAAGCTTATCATATGCGATATAGCCGTGGAGAACGACGTGCACCGCACGGCACACTGAACGTTACCAAGTATTAATATACCTGGCAATTATTATAGTGACCAACGCACGCTACATGTGCGGGCTGTACATGGGAGAATGCTGGCCCTAGCTCTGCGACTAAAGCACGGCGCGCATGAACTGTCGCGGGGTGGGTTGTTACTGTGAACTTACCCTGCTCAATCAGAGAATACCAGCCTACAGTAATTAATGATATTCGGTACAGGCACGGATTTAAGGCGTATGTCCCCGAGCGAGCTCAAGATATCTGTTGCAACAAATCTCAGGTGCGTCCAAGGCCTAAACCGACTCCCGTGGCGGGCTGACAGAATAACGGAGACAGAGGGGTAATTGCTCGTCTCATTCGTGGGCGCCTGGCTGAGGGGTACTGGTCCTACCGCTATTCAGTCACCCTCCAGTCGCGACTCAGGGAAGGTAACCTACCTTACCCTTTTACTATCCGGACTGGTTTCAAAGTTGATCACAGACCGGGCTGACCCCGACATGAAAAAGGCACGGACGACTCAACGTTCATTGGCCCGAGTGCACGGGCAGGAACTTCGAGATCAGGAGACGGCCTGACGTCCGCCCGAGCATCTTCAGCAAAAGTCACCGAGAAATCCAGTCCCCTTCCGTCTCCACCATCCGTGCCTGATCGCCTGCATACGAAGATGCATCCATGTATGTATGTCTCTTGGACCTTGTGTATGATGATAGTACCACGTATCCTGAACCATGTCTCGACATCAACATGACCCCTCGCGACATGTAGTTCTTGCAGAGAGCCACTCTCACGCAGCCACTTGATCTGATCGTCCTCGCCACTGCAACCAACGAGCAGCAGCAGCAGCAGCAGCAGCAGCAATCCCCGGTCACGTTTGGAGCGTCCGCATAGCCGGTACGCCCAGATTGAGACAAACCCGACTCGCGCCAATCGCCCGCCGCCTTTCCCCACCTCATTACTCCGCTACAGCGTCGCTCCCACTCCCAGCCACCTCTTGTTGCGGCCGGCCTGACTCTTGTCGTCGTCGTCGTCGTCGTCGTCGCCTCTCTCTCCAGTCGTCGTCTCTTTCCACAGCCGCGCCTATACTCCCGGCTTTCGACTGGTCCATGAGCACAAGGCAGTACGAGAGCCAGCCACCCAGCCGCCTGACGACCGGCCTAGCCGTATCAACGCCATCACACGGTGCCCAACCAAGTCGCCAGGCAGGGACCCCTAAGGAAAGCCACTTCAAACAAGCCCCCAAGGGCCAAGACGACCGAGTCCTGGTACTGACTACTGACTGAACTGGCGGCCTAACCTTGGAGAGTGCAGCCAGAGTTGGCCACCGCACACTCTTCTATCCTGGATCTCCATTCTGCGCCATCTAGCCCTGCCTGCGTCTGCAGCAATCTGCACGTCCAGTCCCTGGTACGCTCCATCCCAGACTGGAGCCTTTTTACCTCGCGCGCACCATTCGCAGACTTTAGTCAGTAGTTCCCGGCCTAGGCCAGGGTAGGTCGCAATTGTTCTCCTTCTCACCATGTCAATAAAGTAAGCTATATTCTTTCCTTCTCCGTTCCCGAGCATCCTCCCCATCCTCCCATGCTCTTCATGGCCTAGTTTCTCGGCATCTGGTCACCATGAACAATCCCCATGATTATCTCATCACCAGTCCCACCCCGTCTAGGCCGCGGCACGTGGATCCTGACAATGCCGATAGCTGGGTGATGCTCAACCAGAGCGGGTTCGTCAAGCTCGGAAACGAACGCGTCCTGCTCAAGCTTGACTCCCGCATATCATGCGAGCTCTCCGTCCCTTCCAGCCTAAAGGCGCGGTGCGAAGCCTTCCACAGGAAAAGCGATCGGGGGACCCTGTTCCTTACAAATAAAAGAGTGAGATCACCACCATGACTGGCTTTCGAGAGGAGGCTGTACTGACATGCATGGCTTGCCAGATTGTGTACCTACCCGCCAAAGTGACCGGCGAGCCCAAGTTTGAGTCGTTCAGCGCGCCCATACTCAAGTTTCAGGATGCTACAACGTCCTCATCCATGTGGTGGGGGTGGATGTGGAAGTCAGACTGCGTGCCCGTCACGGGGGGAGGGATCCCGTCCGCCATTCCTCGGATCGAGGTCAAGTTCACATTTTCAGATGGCGGGATGAACGACTTCAATCTCGCGTACGAGCGCCTACGCGAACGAATCTACCAGTATCAGGAGATGCGCAGAGAGATGGGCCCAGACGCAGACATCCCCGACGAGCCTCTTCCCGCCTATGAAGCTCCCGGATCAGCGCCGCCCGAGCCAGCTCGGCAGTCAGCGCAGTCGAGGCCAGCTCCTGCGCCCGACGCCAATCTCGCTGCGCCGGCAGCTCGTGAGCAGCGGTCTGATAGCTCGGCCAGCCTCAGGCCGGACGGGCCTCCCCCGGATTATGAGGAGGCACAGGCGCAGCAGCTGAGCAACCGACTGGAGGACCACATCCGAGACGAAGTGAACCGGGGCGATGGGAGTTGAGAAGTTTGAGGCAAGCTGTTCAAAATGATGCTTGCGCTCTCTCATGAAAAATGACTTCCTCCATCAAATGGCGTTTTCGGGTTGAATTTTTGCAATGGGCTAGGCGCATGGAGCATTACTCGGGCGCTGGCTATGACTTTTTGGGGCCATATGGAATCATAATTTTGTGTGTAACATTGTTGCTCTATTCTCTTTTCGCAATACACGAAATAGATGAGAGATCAACCGAATGTGTTCTCTTCCGTGCAACTCAGTGGCCATGATGAGAAGTCACGTGACAGAGTCATGATCATGTCTCCCTGTGGCGGGACCAATCAAAATGCCTCAATTCCAGATCAGTTTTCGTCTGCACCTTTTGGCCGAGAGCTCCCGAATCCGCAAAGAGCCAACGCAATACCAATCAACCTGTTTTTCGAACCCCATCAAATTCACCGGCATCATGGGTATCTGGGACGCTTTTTCGGACATTGTCGAGGCCGTGACGCCATGGAGCACCGTCGAGGCTGAGGCGCCGGCCCAGACCGAGGAGTCCAAGGTGCGTGCGCCCATTTCGAGACGGTACGATTTTGAGCAGAAGAACTGACGCGCTGTCCACAGGAGGAGACGTCCACCGAGAGCGAGGACAGCAAGGCCACTCCCGAGTCTGCGTCCGACGACGGCGACGAGGCCAAGGAGGAGAGCACCGGTGACGACACGGAGGGCGAAGCTGAAGCCGAGGGCGAGGACGCCGAGGAGGAGGAAGAAGAGGAGGAAGAGGAAGAGGAGGATGACGAGGAGGAGATCGTCGACCCCAAGGAGACCATTGAGGAGGGTAGGTCGCATCGTCGTATACGCGCGATGGACGACGAGCAGTCATGCTGACCAAAACGCAGAGTGCAGGAACTCGGCCCAGTGCGCGCCCGCGAAGCACCACTACGACCACTGCGTCGAGCGCGTGCAGCAGCAGGAGAGCGAGGGCGGCGCCCAAGAGGACTGCGTCGAGGAGTGTATGGTCCCCCATGTCCGCATAGTGAAAAAGGGCGGTCTTTGCTAATTGGCATACAAACAGTCTTCCACCTGGCTCACTGCGCTACGGCATGTGCTGCCCCCAAGGTCTGGTCGAAGCTCAAGTAAATAGCCTTGCCCACGCCCGCGCCCGCACCCGCGCGCCCCAAGCAACAAGACCGATCCGAGAAGCGCAGGCTATAGAATATGGCCTGCATGGAAGTAGGCGCCTGTACGATGATGCTGCTGTCGTCGGACACAGTGCTGTTGAGTTCTCCTTTGTATACTACTGCATACGTCCCGCCCTGCAATAGACAAAATACTTTCCAAATACTACAACGTCGACATACGGTCCCGTCGCCAGCGATGTGCGTGCTCGGTGCTAGGTACTACGTACCTGTTGGTGACACAGAAGCACCACTAGAGCCTCCTGGGTGCCTCTCCCAAGAGGGAACGTGCTGACCGCCACGGAACATACATCCAGCATGCTGCTGGCCAACAGCTCGCTCGCTCTAGGGTACCGATAAATGATGACTGTCAGGGATCGAGCATAATGAGAGGCACTCTGATGGCCAAGACTGTCACAGGTCGTGCGTTCCGATGTGACTGATTGAAGAGACGACTGGTCCCTGGGCGTAGCTGGACCCCATGAAACCAGAGCGCACGTTTTGGTATGTTCTAATTAGTACCCGATCATGTGCATGCTGCACGTATCCTTTGGCTATGCTGCATTTACTCTGAGCGATAAGGTTTGAGGCCACGCGCTCATCCTCAAGAGCATCCCCCAACCGAGGCAACGATAAGCGCACGTCGTGGCTACGTTCAGCGCATGATACACTGAGCCAGTGACTTTAATGCGGGGAAGAAGCAGAATCGCGTTGACGGCCGGTCGTTCAACTTTGGGATGCACCGAACGTCCGTATGCTAATAGCAAGGTGCGATGCTTCTCCTTGGGGCACCGACCTCTCACCTACTGCTACTACCATACCTTGCCTGGCCGCTCGTGATGCGTTGTTGGTAGGTGCGCCGCCTCGTTTGTAATGGCTGTCACCCCCAATCTCGGGAGCAGGCTGCGTGCTGCATTTATTGCTCCCCCTTCCCCCTCGCGGCTCTCCTCGTTTCCCAATCTTTCCATTGCTTCTCGCTGATTAGGTTTAGCCATCTTTTCGACGGACGCGTGCAGTGGTTCGGATACGCGCTGGCTTCCCTCGCAGACAACCACTTCCTCGTCGCGACTAACAGTACCAATCCCATGAGCAACAGACACTGCTCTCACACACATGCACCACCACCAATCGGCTCTCAATTGGGAAAAAGGACCGTTTCCTCACCATGGACTCAAAACATGACGAAGGCAACATGGTCGCGCACCCGCAGCTCGATGCTGTGACCAGCAGCAACAGCGGCGCCACCTCAATGGGGAGCTTTACTTCCTGGTTCCGTGGTCACGGCGGCAAGAGTCGACTTGCTTCGCAGGACATTACCATGCGCGAGAGAGACGCGGAGGAGGACGAAGCGGGTCATTTCCCTCACGAGTATCGGACGTACAAGAGGAGATGGTTCGGGCTCGTGCAGCTTACACTGATGAACATTGTTGTGTCGTGGAACGTAAGTCAACTCAGGAGCCAGAGCAAGCTTTCATCAACCAGCTGACTCGTCTGCAGTGGCTGACGTACGCACCGGTAGCTGGCAAAGCGTCCGAGTATTACAATGTTGACGAGTCCACCATCAACTGGATCAGTACCGCCTGCCTCCTCGCCTTTGTCTCCGTCTTCCCGCTCACCATCTGGGTTCTGCACCGCAGTGTACGACTCGCCTTCATCTTCGCTGCTGTTCTCATCCCCATTGGCAACTGGATCAGGTATGCCGGGTCCACCAGCCGCAGTGGAGGCAGCATTGCGCATGCCATGGCCGGCGAGATCGTCATTGGCTTCGCGCAGCCTTTTGTCCTGGCGGCGCCCACGCGATACTCAGATCTGTGGTTCACAGCCAAGGGAAGGGTCACCGCGACGGCGGTCATGAGTCTAGCCAATCCCCTGGGCGCTGCGCTTGGCCAGCTCATCAACCCCCTTTGGGTGTCTGAAGCCGGCGACATATCCCAGATGGTGCTCTACGTCTCCATCTTGGTGAGTTTCATCTCGTGTTGAATCATGAACCGTGCTGACGACGACAGTCGACGGTTTGCTCCGTGCCCGCCATCTTCGTGCCCGGCGCTCCGCCCACACCAGTCGGCCCTGCCGCTGAAACCCCCAAGCTCGCCCTGCGCAAATCGATTCGTGCTGTCACGAGTTCCCTCGAGCTCTGGCTGATGTTCATACCGTTTGCCGTCTATGTCGGCTTTTTCAACTCCGTTTCTTCGCTGCTCAATCAAATCATGACGCCCTATGGCTTCAGCGATGACGAAGCGGGCATCGGAGGCGCGATTCTCATCGTAGTAGGCTTGGTTACTGCGGCGATCACTTCTCCTATCCTGGATCGCTCCAAGAAATTCCTCCTCGCGATCCGCATCGTGGTGCCCGTTATCGCACTTAGCTTTTTCGTGTTCTTGTGGATGCCAGAGACGAAGGGAATCGCAGGGCCCTACGTTGTCCTTGCCATACTGGGAGCCTCGTGTTTCTCTCTGGTGCCCGTTTCCTTGGAGTTTCTCATTGAGCTCGGACACCCTCTCAGTCCCGAAATCACTTCGACCACGGCCTGGGCAGGAGGTCAGCTCCTCGGTGCCGTCTTTATCATTATCGGCGATGCTCTGCGCGCGGGTGACAACGCATCTCCGCCTCATCACATGAAGAAGGCACTAATCTTCCAAGCGGTGATTGCGGTCGTGGCAGCCTTTGCACCACTGTCGTTGGGTCTGTTTGGCCGTTCAGACAAGGTCAATCTGCGTCGCATAGCGTCGGAAACGCGAGGTCACTGAGTCCGATGTGGTGTTTTTTGTTGGATTATCATTGGAATGTTGCCCGCGTTGCTTTCAGCTTGAATATGTGGAGAATCATTCATATACCCCTTACCTACTTACACAGTTGCGTTCTGAGCAAGCCAAGTTAGTCTGTTAATTCCAAAATCTCCTCCCACTCCTCGCGCAGCTCCTCCATTATTTCCCAGCACTCTTTGCCCAATTGCTCAAACTGGACAATCTGCTCGCTTGTCACGTCCTTTGCATCCCTGTGACGGCCAACCCTTTTCCTCATCGCGTACTCCACCTCCTCCTCATCGCCCATCGGCTCGACCTTGCCACTGAATCCCCAGCCGTCCACCTCGGTATCACGGATGCGGCTGTCGCCCATAGCATTGACCGCACTCGCCCACTTGATTCTCTCCGCCGCCTCGGCATCGAGCTTCTCCTGCGGCGCGAGTACCAGGTAGGTTGCGGCAGCGGCGCCCGGGTAGGCGTCCGTCGTGTGCCACGGCGAGCCCCACCACTGCGCAAAGAACATGACGAAGCGGTACAGGCCAAAGAGCCAGCTGGCGAGCGGGAAGAATTTGGACGCCACGATGCCGGGATGCATGAGGTACATCTTGGGCGGCGTGCGCTCCTCCTCCTCCTCCTCCGTCGTCAGGTACGATGTCGAAATTGGTTTCACAGAGGGCAGCGTGCACGTGAGCGAGAGGATGTCGGTGAGCCTTTTGACGGATTCGTAGGGTGTGGACGAAGGATCGAATGTCTGAAAGTCGGCGAGCGAGAAGGAGGCTCCGACGGCCTCGATGGAAGACATCCAGACGATCCGACCGGAGTGGAGTTCGGATCCTACGGGGCGTGATAAAAGGGGCAGCAGGCGGTGGGCGAGGAGGTAGTGGCCGAACAAGCAAGCGGTGAAGACCTCGCCGAGCAGTGGCTTGGAAGGCTGCGTGGATGCTGTCAGCCTGGTGTCTCCAGCATGTCTACAAACAAGGAGGGGAACTGGAGGGGAGACCCACGTAGTCGTATTCTTTGCGATTGTTCAACGCCAGTGTCGGGATCGCATCTTTGCACTCGGGCCAAGTGACCGAGTTCATGAGGCCCTGCGTGAGAAACTGCCATATCAGCACAGGCCAGTTGACACCACTCCAGCCGCCAAAGCCGGCGTTGAAGACGACAGCATCTAGGCGGGGGATGGACACATCAACCAGCTCGCCGTCGGGGCCCTCCGTTCCCTTGGGGTTGCTGATGGTCTCCTCGCACAGGTCCTCGGCCAGGTTGTAGATGGCCCTGATGTCGCAGAGGTCGAGTTGCACGGAGAGAATGTGTATCCTCCGAGCGTGGTCGTCTTCCCCACCGGTTCTCGACTTCAACGCATCGCTCCGTGCAGCCTTGTCAGCGTACGCACGGAGGTGAGCTATCGTCTCTCGGGATTTCCCCTCGGAGCGGGTCGTGGGGAGGAGGGTGAGGTGGGCGGTCAGGCTCCTCGTCGCGAAGAACTCGTCAATCAGGCGTTCGCCGATACTCAGGCCGATACCGCTATGATCTTGTCAGTCGAGGGATGCGGGGTGGAGGAGGGGCTGTATTATAGGCTGGGAATGTTACCTGTTTGCGCCGGTGATGAGGACGAAGAGCTGGTCTTGAGGAGGGGCTGCGGCCCACGGCGCATCTTTTTCTGCAACCATTCTGGCGGCTTCACAATGAGGCTTCTGGGCCTACAAAGTGTGAGAACATGTCACGGAAAGAAGAGCCAAAAGGACATGGGTCATGATCGCCATCATGGTTGGGTGAAGGAGAGACAGCTCCAGCTCCTTGGCAGAAAGAAAGCGGTGAAGACAAATGCCGTGGCCAGATGAAGGATAGCGTGATCAATTAACTCAATGCTACTAGACTACAAGTGGTAAGGTAGATTAGATGGTAGTCACATCCAGGGTCCGTCGTCTGCTAGTACATAGTACACTTCTTGGTCATTATGATTTCTTTTGGCATTGACGCCGCTCAGCGCATCTACGTAGACTGTCCAACATAATCAAACACGTGACTGTCCCTGGATGCGACGACTATGGTTCTTCCACATCTACTGTACAGCTATGGTGGTACAACTGAAGGTCCACTTACTCCCGCGCCTGGCTGAGACCCTCGCGAACAGCCTCAAGGATCAAGTCCTTTGCTTGCTCAACGCCAGCTGAGCTGCCAATAATCTCAATGGCCTCATCCTTCGCCTCGGCACGGGGCACCTGGATTTTGCAGTCGGTCTGCTTGCGGATGGCGTTGACCTTGCTGCCACCAGATCCGATGACGAAGCGGTAGGTACGGGGGTCTGGAAGAACCAGGTACCCTGTCGCATCGCTCTTTTGGGCTTGCGCCAGAGCTCGCTCGATGGCCTCCTTGGCCTTGGCTACGTTCTCTGGGCTGCCACGGAGGACCCAGGGAATGTCGCCTTCCTCGCCAGCACCCGTCTGGACGACTTTCCATGAATGGGCGTCAGCGGTGGCGTCCTCATCGTCAGTGATGAGCGGCAGTGAGCCACCGTTGGCGCGCGTCGTATCGGGCTTGGCGGGGAGCGGCTGACCAGCATGGTCTACCGTGACCTGGTGGTTGTTGCGCAGCTGACGGAAGAATTGGCCGCCGTTCGAGACAGCATGGTGCGCGCTGCGAGGCACCTGGATGGTCTCGCCTTGCTGTGACTTCAGTAGAGAAGCAATGTGCTCCTTGGCACTTTCGACGGCTTCGGGACGGCCAGTGACCTTGACGCCAGTCTGGCCGCTGCCCTGGCGAGGCACATCGATGCTGACCGTGTACTTGGTCTCCATCTGCCGCTTGATGTCTCCGCCCCGTCCGATGAGGGAGCGGTGCTGGTCGACTGGCACCTCAACGACCTCGGTCACTTGGCTTTCGCGCTCAGCGACAATTTCCTGGATACGCTTGATGATCTTCTCAACGACATCAGTACGGCCCTCAACCTTGATAGAGTTGCCGTCCGCATCCTGCTTCGGGAACTGGATAGTACGCGCGAGCTCACGGCGATCATCAGAGCCACCAGCTCCAACGACAATGTCTCGGAGCGTGGCGCCTAGGGGCGTTAATTAGCACAATCAGGACAAGGACTGGTTGATATAGACAACTTACCACTAGTGCCAATCAACGCGCGGTGGTGCTTCTTGTCGACTTCCACAGTTTGCACAACCGTATCGTCAAAGATGGCGCGCTTCTCCTCCAAGACCTTCTTCGCCTTAGCCACCTGGGCAGCAGTGCCCTTGACGACAATGTCAACAACATCCGTGTCACGATCGGAGGGCACATCGATGCGGGCACCGGTAGCCTGGCGAAGCTCGTCGAGCGCGGCGCCGCCTTGGCCAATCAAGGAGCCGACCTGCTTCTGCTTGACAGGGACAGTTGCGCTGTGGGAGTTCTCTTCGAGATACTTGTACAGCGAGAAGATCTCATCGCGAGCCTCGTCGGCTCCACGCTTGGGTCCGCGGATGATGACCTCATCAGGGGTTTGTTGGCGGCGAGCTTTGCCACCAGCCTCACTCGCAGCGTCACTGCCAGCCTGATCCTCACCAGTAGACTTGGCGGAGCGGGGGAAGAAGATGAGAACCTTGTAACGGGTCTGTAGGCGGTTGATCTGAGCGCCCTGGGCGCCAATGAGCTCACGGTGGAACTTGGGATCAATCTTGAGCGTGTGGGTGGTCTCGTCGTCCAGAGTGCGGCCCAGGTTTTGAATGTAGGTGCGCGCAGTCTCAGCCTTGGCCTTGGGACCCTTGAGCTCGACCTTGCCGTCTCCAACCTGGATCTCGACGTCAAAGCGATCCCGCAGCTCCTTGATGTTGCTGCCACCCTTGCCGATGAGCTTGTTGGCGTGCTTCTGGGGGAAGTCGAATGCAAGGGTGAAGCCACGCTCCTTGTCGTCTTCCTTCTCCTGCGCAATGAACGCCTGCGACTTGGCCGCGAGGTTCTGAACCGCTGAAGTGGGTCCGCGCAGAGTAACGTTCGTGCCGACTTTGGTGACGCGAATGGGGATCTGGTCTGCCGGACGCTTCTCCTGCTCACTCTTGATGAACCTGCGGAGCCTCTCGTGGAACTTGACCGGGACGTCCAGAGTCACACTGTCGAGCTTCTCCTGCTTATTGATGAGCTCAAGGATATGGCGCTCGGCATCCTGAAGGCCCTGCTGGAAAGTCTTAATTTCGTTCTCATCCGGCTTGTGACGAGGGAGCTGGTACTCGCCCTCGGTGGGCTCGGGGCCTTCGTAGACCAGGACGAGAGGCGCGTTGCCCTCTCCGGCCTTGGGGACGACCATGTGAACGCCAAAATCCTTCCTCACATCAGGAGTGATGTTTTTGCGCAAATACTGGTGGAAGAACGGGTCCACGTGAACGGGCTGCAGACGCGTGGGGGGATGAGCATTAATGATGCCAGTAATTTCAGACTGAGCGCGGATGGCATTCTTGCCTTCGCGCGAGTACAGCTCCCAAGGCAGAGCACCGTCTGACGAAAAGGGGGTGTTGATGTGGGTGTTGTACAGTCTCTCGAGACGGGCAATCTCGTTGCGCTGGCGCAGGTAGCGAGTCACGAAACCAGCATGAGCGGCAGCACCGGTAGGGGCGTTGCGATGAGCACGGGAGATGTCCAAGTTCGACATCTGCATGTTCATCGACAGATCCATGACCTTGTCGGTACCGGCGGACACGCGATCAACAGGGCCAATAATAGTGACAAGGTCGTCCTCCTCATCAGTGGGCAGCAGGATAGCACAGCCAGTCTCCGCAAAGAAATCGTCGGGCGACACGCCACGATCACCAATAATGAACTGATGACGGCCGCGCTGGATCGACAGCTGCTCCATCTGAAGCTCCAGGGCGAGCTCGGCCGCCCGGCGCTCAATCTCAGCACGAGCCTTCTGCACTGCCGTTCGATCGCCGCCGAGCTGGATCAGGTTGTCCCGATCATCACACGGCATGAACTGCGGCCGCTGCCCAGCGCCAAACTGGGGAGCTGGAGAATAGGCCTGGTGAGCAGGCACGCGCACCTGAACGCCGTGATCTTCCTCCAAAGCCTTGGCAAGCGAGTTGTCGGGGCCAGAGAGGAAGGGGAACAAGGCAGCAGGGATTCCTTTGACCTTGAGATCCGCAGTGGCGCCGCGCTCGCGGACAATCTTGTTAATCTCGTCGCGAGCTGATGCGACAGTCAGGGCATTGCCCTCGACGATGACATCAATGGTCGCTTCATCATCTTCATCGGCAGCCTCCTGATTCTCGGACTTGGGAAGCTGAATGCGAGCGCCGGTCTTCTCCTGGATCGCCTTGATCATAGAACCAGACTTGCCAATGACGTGCGCACGAGTCGAGCGAGGAATTGGCACCTTGATTGTGATCTTGGTACCGATTTGATTGACCAGGTCCTTCAGCGCCTGCTGCGCAATATCTTGTGGGCCGGTCGCATCAAAGCGCATCAGGCCGCCGGCGACAGTTGACATGTTGATGTTGGCGCGCGACTTGCGATTGATGTCCTTGATGATATCGGGAATGGGTTTCTTGAGCTGGCCGCGAGGCTGAACATGCTGCGGTTCGAGGGTGTAGGACTCGACCTGGCGCCCGGGAATGGAGAAGTTGGTCTTGACATTGTTACCGGGGGCTGGAGCGTTGACAGGAGCCGACGTGCCAGCATCATTGGTAGGAGTGCCATTCTTCACACCCCAGATAGGAGCAACATTAGCACTCTTGCCCTTGGCGGCGCCAAGTTCGGGGAACAGCTCATGGGATTGGGTATCCAGCGATTTCTTCACAGCGGGCGGCGTAGGTTTGGCGGGGAGGTCCTCGTCAACGTCGTCCTCGACAGTGACAGTATGCGGCTGAGAATGCTGCTCGCGAAGCTGGTCAGCGAGGGAGCCCTCGGCGATGGGGGCGTCGGTCGAGGTGGAAGCCATGTCGGTGATGGGAGAGCAATAGCTGGCGGGGATTGAGATCTGTCTCTGCAGTCAGCTACATTTCTTGAAACAACGGGGTGGGCACATAAGCACAAACTGAAGCGTGGATGGGTTTTTGACGGACAGCAGGAGGTCTATACACGGCAATGCTTTCACAATGCTGCGGATGGGTCGAGCTGACAGAGATACAAGGATGGCTCTAGGAATTTACCTAGAAACCAAGCGGGTAAACCGTGACCGGAAGGAACAACCAGATGAGACTAGCCGACACCACCAGGGAGGATGGTACCGGGGGAGAGAGAAGAGGAGAGGGGATGAGAAATGTTGATGATGCCAGAGTGTCGAGTAGGAGAAGTTGAGGATGAACAGGTGGACGGCTTCGAACTTAGAAGTGCCTGGAACTTGCGGCTACAGTACTAGCTCCAGTGTGCTGCGGGACAGCCAGGGGTCCAGTGTGGCGCCAGCCTGCTCATCCACTCGGTGAGTGTGGCGCAACCCCGTGACACGTGTAAACCTCGCTGGGGAGGTGCGGAAGAAGCGGAAGCCCATTTGTTGATAGTCATGTGATTCGAGTTATTATCAGGCGGTCGCGAGGAGAGATTCACAATTACAAAATGCAACCTAGACGCCATTGAATCGAATACGAGATTTCTAACGTATGTAGGACCAATCAATCCCAAGCTTGTCGCGTTCAAATTAACAAGCTAGTGGCTCGAAGCTCCCTGGGCATGGTTTGCTGGTGGTACGGATACAACATGAGCCTCGGGCGCCAAGTCGCCTCCCGATGACTGCCGCAGTGGCAACGGCAGAGAGGAGCTAGGCTGATGGTGAGAAAATGCGCCGGCATGGCAGCAACAATAATTCAGGAAGGGTGCCTGTCGCAGACTTGCCGAGCGGAGGCGATTGGAGTCAACTACCAGACGCTTCCGTCAAGCTGTCGATGTTGTTAGTCAACCAATGATCTGGAGCTGATATCGTGATGGAACTATGACCGTGGGTCAGGGTCTGGGTCGTTCCCCAAACATGGAATTTAAGTTAACCGTCCTTCTGTTGTCCGAGGGAAAATAGCTATAGGGCTCTATCCATGGCAGAGGCAAATTCTGCATGTCTGAATTTCACTGAACAAATGAACAATATCACAGGCCGTAAAAACCAAAATTTCTTGCTGATAGTAATCCTATGCACATTTCACTACAGGGTATCGTGGATCATAAAGTGGGTAGTCATTTGCGCACTGTATACTGCCCTGAGTGGCAGGGCCGATAGCACCATGAAAGCCCCTGGTGACAGTGCGAGTATTCGTAGGCGGATAGCGGGAGCTCACATAATTCCTTGCAAGTCCCAGCCAATCGATGCTTCACTTGTGCACTCTTCGTTTTCTGCTGTTTGACTTGAGACATTTGGTGCAGCACGTGTCTACGTCCCGTTAGGCTGGGCGATTGATGAAACGGCAGACACGGCAGAGCATCTGTGGTCGGAAACAAATTCTGCGGCCCCGAAAATCATTGCTGCAAAGCCTGTAAGTAATATCGTGGGTTCTCAAAAGTGCGGGCTGAGTGCCTTGATGAATGATAGCCCATGTGTCGGGTGGGAGATCACTGGAGGGGACTGGATCTCGCAAGTGCCCCCGTTCGAGCTCAAGGATCAGTCTGGTCAAGGATTCGGTACAATTTTCTACAGACAGTCGCACGTTATGGCGAATCTCCGTCTCCTGAATGGATGATTTCTTTCGCGTCTTCTCGGACGCCATGTCGCTGTGAACCTGTCGAGTCTCCCGTCCTGCCTCTGTCAATCAACTCCTCCGTCGAGGGCAGGAACTCCCAATCTGTTTCCTCCATCCATCAAAAGATAGGTACCTGGTAAGGAGTCCATTGCAGCCAACTTTCCCCTTTGATCAGGCCAAATCCCGTTCCACCCTGGCACGCAGTGTCGTCAGTGCTCCCCTCCTTGCGCACACACAACAATCACATTCATCATCCTTCGTTGCTCTACTGCAGCGCTTCGCTTCGCTGGAGCTGGGCTGTGCCGCGGTTCCTGCAAGTGCCTTGCTTGTCTCGTCCCGGTTTCCTCGACTGGCCTGACGCCAGCATCGAACACCTGGAGCCCACTGCACTGATGCGATTCGCGCGGCGCACAACTCATTACTTACCTGTACTGGGTCTCTCGCTCGCCTTGACGCAAGTAGAGTTTTAGCCTCTAGTGCCATCCACTCCCGTTGTCCCCATCTGCTCCAGTCCATCTCCGTTCGTGCTGGCTGGCTGGCTGACCGGTTTCCAAAGCGCTGCTACCCGCCAGCCCAAAGGAGGGCTGCTACCATGGATACACGTTCCACCCACTCCAACACCACCTCGCAACGTCGAAAGCTCACCAAGCGGAACCCATCCTCCAACCTCTACTCCCCATCGACTGCTGCGGCGATTGATGCCGCCTTTGACGACCACACTCCCCTGAGCAGGCGCAGCTCTCACAGCCCGAGGCGCGCACCAAGCGTCCCGCCTATTCACGCATCCAACTCCGCCAATCCCAACACCTCTGCGACCGCGGGCACGGCATCTCCTCGTTTGCCCACCAATACTCCGGCCCAGCGCCCGAACCAATCGCCCAACCTCCTTCAGGACGACTTTCCCTCGCCTGGTGGCTCTGCATCGACCGAACCCCGTCTACAGCCCCTCAATCCAGACCCTCGTGACGACTTCATCGGCGCACCCTTTGACGGCGCTGCGATCCTGAACCACATCGACGCAGGCAAAGCGACGGGCTCGCACACCTCACAGCACGGTCGCAAGCAATCGGTACAGCGGCCACTCATTTCCCCTCCGTTGAATAGCTTTGGGACAACGACCGTTGCGGCCGGACCGGACAGCCAACGCTCTCTCAAGCACACGCTCCGTGCTTCAGCCAGTTTCAGTAACATGGATGGAGCCATGTCAGAGAAGGGGCGCCCCGGAGAGAGCTCGTTGGCGAAGCGATACTCAGACGATGGCAAGGACTTCAAATCAACACTCACACGCAAGAAGACTGGCTTGTCCGGGTTCGTGAATAGCTTGGTCGGGTCACAAAAGAAGCCTGTCATTTCGGCGCCAGAGAACCCGGTGCATGTGACGCATGTTGGTTATGACAGCTCCACTGGGCAATTCACGGTTCGTGCTCAGCAGACAATTCTATTGCGACGACCCGCTGACAGTATCTAGGGCCTCCCCAAAGAATGGCAACGACTGATCAACGAGAGCGGCATTTCCGAGCAAGAGCGGCGAGACAACCCGCAGACGATGGTCAACATTCTGCAGTTCTACAAAGAGACGACCGAGCGCGCACCCGAAGATAACCTCGAGAAGTTCCAGATAGCCCCCGGCGATCAACGACAATACGCAGCAACTCCAGGCATGTACCCACAGAACTACACGGGTGTGTTCCCGTCACTAGTGAGGACCTTTCGATGCGATCAGCATTCTAACTTGACCCAGGTAGTTTCGAGAACCCGAGAGCAGCGCCTCCCGTGCCGGGGCGAGCCGGCGGCGGTGTCAGTCATGGTGGACAGCCCAAAGATCTCCAGCCCAACCGACCGGCACCGAAGCCCCCCGTGGCCGTGAGCAACAGGCCGTATCCTCAAGGCACCTATGCACCCAAGGACTCGGCTATCGGGATGAGCCAGTCGGACGACTCCGCAAGCGGCTATCCGGCGAGCAAAAGCGCAGAGAAGCTTCCATCGAGATCAAACTCGCGCGCAGCTGGTCACTCGCCCTACGCCCAACCGCCACAGCAACCCTCAGCTGCCCAGCAGAATGCGTACCAGCAGCAGCTCATGCAACAGCAGCAGGAGCAGGTCCTTGCTCAAGCGCAAGCCGCCATGGCTGGAGGATACCCTCAGCGGTCTGCGAGCAAACGTCAAGGACCCCAGCAACCTCACCCTGCTGCGCATCTCGGCCGTGGCCACCAACCACCAGGCGTCAACGGAGCGTCCGGCGCGCCCTCGCCGCAGCATGGCCCCGGTGCCCCCGATGTCGGCCCACAACCGAGGCCTCGACAACGCCCGCGCCAGTCCGGAAACATCGATGTTATGCAATCACTCAGACGGATATGCAACGATGGCGACCCTCGCGAAATCTTCCGCGGTTTCACAAAGATTGGACAGGGTGCGTCTGGCGGCGTGTACACCGGGCATGAGCGAGGCACCAACCGATTGGTGGCTATCAAACAGATGAACCTTGAGCAGCAGCCCAAGAAGGACCTCATCATCAATGAAATCATTGTGATGAAGGAGAGCTCACACCCCAATATTGTGAACTACCTGGACAGCTACCTCACGGGCGGTGAACTCTGGGTTGTCATGGAATTCATGGAGGGTGGCAGTTTGACCGACGTGGTCACCTTCAACATCATGACGGAGGGGCAGATTGCCTCGGTGTGTCGCGAGACTCTCAAGGGTCTGCAGCACTTGCATTCAAAGGGTGTGATCCATCGCGATATCAAGTCGGACAATATCCTGCTTTCCAACGAGGGCAATATCAAGCTAAGTGCGTCTCCCGCCACTCCCGGGATATATGTGATTTGTTCTAACCACAGCAGCCGATTTTGGTTTCTGCGCTACCATCAACGAAGCCCAAAACAAGCGGACCACCATGGTCGGCACGCCGTACTGGATGGCCCCTGAGGTGGTGACCCGGAAAGAGTACGGTCGCAAGGTCGATATCTGGTCGCTCGGCATCATGTCCATTGAGATGATTGAGGGTGAACCGCCTTACTTGACCGAGTCGCCCCTGCGTGCCCTTTGGCTGATTGCCACGAACGGCACGCCCAAGATCAAGGACGAACATAACTTGACGCCCGTGTTCAAGGACTTTTTGTATTTCGCGTTAAAGGTGGACCCCGAGAAGCGAGCGAGCGCGCATGATCTTTTGAGGGTGAGTCTCCTTTTTCCTCTGCCACACAGCATGTCTAGGACAATGATGGCTGACACACCAGCAGCATGAATTTATGAAGCAGTGCGTTGATCTGGCACAGCTAGCCCCTCTCGTGAGGGCGGCCAGGGAACAGCGCGCGCAGGAAAAGGCACGAAAAGCATAGGGGGCTAGGTGGCTTTCGCGGCGAGCGCCATCATGGGGCGATCGATGAACAGGTTGGGTTGGCTACTCAAACATACGAGGGCGCCGGCCCTCGCTCATCTACTCCAAATACAACCCGGCCCGTCTGCGCTGTTGCACATGTTTCTCCAGGTTGCTTCCGTTTTCCTATTCTTATTCACTGGGATGGGATATACCCGACAATGGCGCGCAAATGATGTGGCTGGCATGGATACTTTGTCTTTTGGACACCCTTTAGTGCTTTATTCGCTCATATCTAGACTTGGCTCAAAGCCATGGGTCTTTCTTCTTTCTTCTTCTTTATTCCTTGTCTTTCCTTTTCTTTTGGAGCGGATTTCTAAGAATCGCGGCTGGCAAGACGATGGGCGGCGAGTATATTCAATAGACTCAGGTAGCAGGGCTCTCTGCAGCAACTACGAACCATTTCACCTTCACCGTAGAGGATGCGCATTTCGAGATGAGTGTTGTGTGCGCTGTCAATAGTGCGGTCATGGAAGGAATGATACGTAGTTTGTGGCGAGATGTATTACTAGCCTGGCCCATACATGCCAGGCGGTGTGTATGCTAGACCTCTCTACTGCGGCGCATCCGCAGTTCCTGCAACGCCATGGTTCCGAGATCACGACCAAAAACACAAAAGAACAACAAAAGCAAACATGCTATGCCAATCACCTGCGCAATGTCCTGTCCAGAGAAATCATGCCTCGACGCCTTTGCCTTGCCCGACACCAAATCAATACAAAGGGTGGGTGCGCTTAGTAGCAGGAGTAGCCACCGTCGATGAGAATGTTGCTCCCGGTCATGAAGCGCGAAGCGGAAGACGCAAGGAAGACGCAGAGCCCATTAAGCTCATCGACTCCGCCGAGGCGATTCTGGGGCGTCAGGGACTTCCAGATCTTCTTCTGCGCCTCGAGGGCGGGCACGCGGTTGAGAGCGGTGTCCATGTAGCCGGGGGAGATGCAGTTGACACGAATGTCGTACTTGGCCCATTCAGCGGCGATGGACTTGGCGTACTGGATGACACCAGCCTTGGAGGCGTTGTAGCAAGACTGCTCCTGGGGGTAGTTGACAACGGAGCCGGACATGGACGCAATCAGGATCAGAGAACCGGGCTTGCCGGCGGCCATCATGGCACGGCCAACAGCCTGGGTCATGAGGAAGGTGCCGGTCAGGTTGATGTCGATCAAGCGACGGAACATGGCAGGGTCGTAGGTCTCCGCCTTGATGTTGGAGTCGGCGATGCCGGCGGCGCTGACAAGAGAGTCGGGGCAGCCGTAGAGGTTGACGACGGACTCAACAGCGGCGTTGATGGCGGCGCCGTCGCGAACGTCGACCTTGAAGAAGGAGACGGGGAGACCTGACTTGTCGTGAAGCTCGGCAGCAGCCTGGTCGCCGAGCTCCTGGTTGGCGTCGAAGATGACAATGTTCTTGGCACCAGCCTCCGCGCAGGCGCGAGCCATGTGGTTGCCGAGACCACGAGCGCCGCCTGTGACGATGATGGTCTGTCCGTACACAGTCATGTTGCGGAGAGTGTGCGGCATAGCCTCGTGCACACGCTTCGAAAGGGGCTGCACGGCATCGTACTCGAGAGGTGGCTGCGGCGACTCAAAGGGGACGGTCGAGTTATGCGCGCCCACACTGACTGTGCTGTGCTCTCCCTGGCCTTCTCCGGCGCCATAGCTCGTGACCGGGACCTCGCGCTCGCGGACAACACTACGCTTGGGCTCGGACTCGGACACCTTGTTGACGAAGGTTGTCGAAAAGGCGCGTGTCGCAGCCTGAGGCGTGGAAAGGCGGGTGAGGGGGGCAGTAGCCCGGCCCATGCGCAGAATATTTCGTGCGGCGTAAGCCATTGTGTCTGTGAGTAGTACGGACCTTGGTTGTGAAGAGACTTACGGAGACGAAAAACGTAGAGTGAGATGGCAGCGAGCTGTGGTTTCTTCAAAGACGAAGAGAACAAAAGACACGCTCGGCGTGGTAGAAGTGTCAGAGGTGAAGGGGGAAAAGTAAGAAAGGAAGGAAGGAAGGAGGCAAGGAAGCTAGACGACCAGAGAGGAGGCAGTCGAAGGGGTTGAGCAAAGCTGATATTATACTTGATAGGTGGGATGATCAATCATCAAGCCAGCCACGGTGGGGCCATGGAAATTCAAGCTGGTAGAGTCGGATACGGTGAGTTGCAAGTGAGCGGGAGTTGTCGAAGAGACAGGCCAAGGGTGAGACATAGCCAATGTCATATTAGCAGTTTCTGTAGCAAGTCACCAAGTGGTAGTCGAGTCTTGGGCGTGGGTGTAGTAAAGACCAAAGTCTGGACCTGGAGTTAGCAGAGCGTGGGTGGACCCTTACCGCCCTGCCCTGCGGGTGGCTGGCTGGCTTCATTCCTGAAGCCGGGGATCCAGGGTCTGGTGTCCGGGTCCGCCATATACGTAGGCGGTCCAACAAGTCCAGTCTCATGTCCAGTCGCCTCCAGTCACTGGCCATGAACTCGGCCAGCACCGTGACTTTTGGTCCGGTTCGAGGCAGCTTGTTGCTCCAGGCCTTTTCGCTTCATCAGTTGAAAATCGAGCTGAGCAAGGACCTTCCGTCACGGCGATCGGGAGATAAGATGATCGAGTCCAGACTCAAAATCATCCGCATGCGCGTCCCTACCTCAGGAAGGGGCTTACGACCAGATGCAAGTCAAGGATGTCTCAGATTTCAATGACTACATGTATAACAAGCTCACCCACAGCATTTTGTCTGCAGGCATGACCCTACATGCCTGCGAGACACAAGCTCGAGGATATTGCTTAGAAACCTCTGTTGTCAATGGCTGACCATCATCACAACATGTTGCGATTCAGCGGAACCAGAAGGATGCTGGTAGTATCAAGTGACAAGTCGCGGACATGGGGGTCACGCCACACTTCGCCGCTCTCGCTGGGTCAATTTGATATGAACATAGACCGTGCCGATATCGCTTGTTCTTGGTTCCCAAGTGACTGGATTGCCTTGCTCTGCGAAAGGACGCTGCTCGATGCATGCATGCATGCACGATGCCATTCGAGATGGTGTCGAGCGTCATGCTCAGATGGATCATAATTCATCCTATCGGACACTTTCACGGGAACGACCTGGCACCCGCTCAAGAATATATCCGCCTACTGTGTCCCGGACTGACATTTCTTTTCTGAGGGCGTCATTTCGCCCGCGGTTGGCTTGCCAGGTGGCAGGCAAGGGAATCAATTATCAGGCCCCACGATTCTCCAAATGTTCCCCGGTACACCGCTCCCCTCGATCTCACCGACTGGAGTCAAGCCCATGAAGGCTCAAACTGAAAGGGGTATGACTCCATGCTAGCTCCCCCACGCTGGGGCTTGCCTGCCCGTACACTACATGCGCCAGGGCCAACGAGTCTCATGATCTCATCCAGACATTTTGCATTCATAATTTCGGTGACCAATTGCTGGTTCCAGCTTGTAGGGGGGCTTTCTTACACCGACCTGGGGTGGGCACCTCCTGCTGTGCTGCACCACTGTACACTGGCGACTAGACATTATCCAGCACAGGGCAGCTATAATTGAAAAAGCGTATAATTCCTGTACGGCCTGGCGATCAAGGTGCAACGGCGCCAGAAACTTCTTTGTTCCCTGGCTGTGGAAAGGGAGGCTTACAGACACCCCGCATGCGGGAGCGATCGTCTTTCCAGCAGCTAAGTAAGGCTTAATTTAATATGGGGTGTGAGTCTATTGGCATCGACCCTCGGATTCTCATGCTGGGCGCAGCTCGTGTTGGCCCATTGTGCTGTTTGTCACCTGGTAACTTTCACGGCCAGTGTGAACCTGGGCCATTCTCCTGGCTTTGCGCTATTATTTATCTTGCGTTTTATCCTGGATAATGTCTACAGTCGCACGCGCGTTGGTCTGTCGCTCCACGTGGGATCGACAGTCGTAAGTGGGCTTGAGCCTTGGCGGCGTGGAGGGAGCCACGTCAAAGCGGGTATCCCGCTCTCCAACTACATGAGCCAAAACGAATACGTAAGATCTATTTGTGTAGTTCACTGGATGTCGCCAAGCAGCAGTTGAACCTTGAGCAAGCTTCTTGATGTGGCAGGACTGTTTGGAGAGATAACCGCGCAGCATGCCTCTCCAGCGACCAGTTCAAGCGGCTCGAAATGCGAACACAACCGGGAGAACTGCTTGATCATAGTAACAGCAAACGTCCATTCATACGTAGTAGCCATCTGCTCCCCTGCGACCGTGGCGTTGGGTAAACTCATTCGCTGCAAACTCCTTCGTATCGTTACAAGATTCACTGTGCGCCATCAATCCAGCTGTTCCCAGGTCGTGCATTTCCCCCGCTCAACTTGTCAACGCCGGCTTGACCACCAGACTAGAGACGTTCGCGGCAACAGGTCCAACGACTGGGGTAGTCTGGACTGGGGTAGTCTGGACTGGGGTAGTCTGGAGCATCTGCGTCGTGGTGTCGACCGGATGTGGTTGGGGGCCCGACCAACCCGTCATGCCAATCTATTCGCTGTCGCTACCATCTTCCGCAGCTTCTACCCGTATGTACTCGAGCAGTGACGCAATATATGGGGCCTTTACCCTGCATTAGCTGTCATGCCCAAGACGAGATCGGACCGTGGACTACTTACCAATGCTCTGTTCTCCGCCAGAATCTCAAATAGACGGGGTTGTACTGGCCGGAACAGCCTCTCGTTCCATCCGCCGCGCTCGGATCCGTCAGAGCCTTGTGCTTTCATCAAATCCTCCTCAGCGTCCGTCTTGACGACATTACGCGCCAGGTTGCGGAGGATGAGCACGGCACTCAGAGGGATGCCCGCTGCTTGCGGCGGCAGGTTCGGATTGCGCTCGTCACGCTGTGTCTGGGTCTCCTCGTTGCTGACGGCCAACGTGACAGCGGGAATGACCCACCGCCTGCTCGTGGGCTCCTGCGGCGGCGAGGTGATGTGGGTATTGACGTGGCACGCAAGGTCCTGGAGGTGCATCTTGGTGGGTTTGCGGTACCTGGTGCAGCTCCCCCATGTGCACATGTATTCGCGCTCCACGTTGTCAAACTGCCCTTGCTCGTTGCGTTGGACTCGGAGGTGGTCGGCCATGACGTGATTCCACATTTGCTCTGCATCCAGGTAGAATTTGCCACACTTGAGCAGCGGTCGTGTCGGATCCAGGGTCCATTCGCATTTCTTATACTCAACACCATCTACGCTGAGGGGAGCCGGTCGCGCTCGCAGCCCCTGTATGATGAATCGTTGCTGCTGATCCGCCGGGTCTCGGTGAACTTGCGCATTCGAGTCCTTGTACACAGATGTGCTGTTCCTAATGAAATCGGCCGGTGAGATGAGGGACTGGCCAATGGCCTTGAGGGGTGCCACAAATGCCCCTTGGTACGCTTGCCATGCTGACAGTTGTGTGATGGATGATTGGCTGTCCTCCTCGAAGAATGACCGCACCCATGCGTGCACACGCTCAGGCTCGTCGATCTTGAGAAGCTCTTGTGTGAGATCCTCTGGGATGGACGCTATCTCGTCCCGAGAGGGAATCTTCCGTTCGGGCGCGAGAACCTTCTCCGTCGTCGTCTTTTGGGCGCCGTGAGCAAGCAATCGGGTGAGATGGTCAACGAGAACGTGTGGTGATAGTGAGCGGATGAATTTGTCAACATTGGGGACGACCGCTGTGTATTGATAGAGGAAGTCGAGGCACGCATCCGTCAATTCGTCGTCATTGAGGAGGAGCCAAGAAACAATTCGTTCCAGGGTCTGTGACGGCACATCGCCGAGCTTGTTGGTCGCCTCGAGGTTAACTGAGATGCGTCCCAAAGCACGCAATGCTGTGAGGATGGTGCCTCGGTCATCCGACGTCAGCTGCCAGAGGAGCGTGCGGTACAGAGGGTCGTCAGAGCCGACGTCGAGGAATGGTGTAATCTGCTCTGCCATGTCAAGGGCCATGTGCTTGAGCTCAATGAGGGAATCTTTGGCTGGGAGGTGCATGATGATAATAATCAGATCCTTGAGTGGATAGAAATCAGCCATGTAATGCGCGTTCTCGGACAGCGTCAGCATGTTGCGCAGCGTTAGCACTGCCTCAGTCACAAGAAGTAGCTCGTCCGAGTATCGCTCTGTTTGCATTACATCCGGTAGTTCCTTTTCAATGAGATCGCGGATTCGCTCGATAATGTCAGACGTGCCAGAGTTGCCGTCGAGCAGACCGACATCGCTCGTTGGTTCGGTTGAATCCCAAGACACGGTCCAGTCGATGTGATAGAACAGGTTGCCGACATGAAGCGCCTTCTCAACCAAGCCCTCAGCCAGGCCAGGGAACGAGTCGAAGCGAAATTTGTCGCCACGCTCAAAGGATATCTTGACGAGATGGTTCAACGCGAACGCCTGTTCGGCTGGCACGCGAGATCGAAGAGCATTGAGGCAGCGGGTGTAGATGTTCGGGCCGTCAAAGCCAGCTGTCATGGTTATCAGCAAAGGTCTACCAAGGTTTAGGTGCGCTACTCACTGCCAGGGAGCATGAGTCCTTGATTCGTCTGAGAGGCTTGCCGCTGCTGGCGCTTCGTCTTAAGAAAGTTGTCTGGCGCACTGCTGGGTGTGTGCACCGGCCGAAGTGAGAGCGCCTTGATGTGGCGTGGCTGGTACACTTCGACTTGAGAAGCCATGTTCTCCACTGTCGCTGGTCTATGGAACAGAGAAGGGCCTCGTTGGCCGTGCTGTCCGACTATTCCAGGTGTGTGTTGACTCATGTTGGGCGAGTTCGTGTGGTTTGGCACCTGCTGCGCGGCGGCGGCTCGTGTGCGGCTAGGTCCTGTGTCGGGTTGAAATATCACGCGCTGCGCTGGTGCTTCACGA